GACTGCGCTCATCCACCTGGTGCTGGCAGGCGGCTGGTCAGGATGGTGCGGGAAGTGGCAGAAGCAGATGACGAGTCTCCCCCAAGCTTGCGACGGAGGCCGCAGGGCCCAGAAGAGGGGGCAGGAAAGACGTCTCCCCCTGCCCGGCCGGCTGCATGCAGTGCTGCACGGGGCAGCCTTTTTCCGGTGCCCAGTACCCATTTGCTCCGAAAGCACGGGCCGCCCCCCGGACCACCGCTAGGGCCAGCCCCCCATTTGCCCAGGGAGACCCTGGAGGCACGCGGCCCGGATGTGTCTGCCCCGTCTTGCGCTCCAGTGGGGACGATGGTGGGCCAGAAGGCGCTAGCCATGAGTCAGGCGAGGCCTAAGGTCCGGAAACAAGGCCCTGCCGGTCCAAAGTCCAAAGAGAAACTGAAACATTCGGGGCAACCCAAAGTGAAAGCGCCTAAGGGGAAGGGGCAGAAGCAGTGGCCCCGAGGTTATGGAATGACCTCCCCCCGGAGGTTAGAGGGTGTTCCTCTTTTCCCGCCTTTTGAAAAGGTTGCAAGGCCTTTTTATTTCGGTGAGCCTTTGGTGAGTCTTGTGCATTTGGCTGCATTTGGTTTACTTTCTCAGTGGTTGCTGCTGCCCCATTTTCACATGTGCTTTTATGATCTTGTGAAGAGGATTTGGACCCTTTTCTGAAAGGTGTTAAGCCTGGAAGCAGCTCCCTGCAGCATGGTCTGTGCTGGGGGGCAGCCCCTTTTGATTCCCCTGGGCCTTTGATATCCTTCTGGGGTGCCTTGCAGGAGCTGGGCTGGGGGAACGGTCTTCCAGCCACTCCACTCTTTGTTGGAGGTTCTTTCTTTGAGGATCTTGGAAGATCTCTCTTTCTTTCGGCTCTTTCTCGGGGCCAAAAGTGTGGTGTAGGGGGCCCACTCGTCCGCCTTGTGACCGTGGGCTCAATGGGCATCAGACGGTTCCACCTCGAATCCCATAATCTTTAGCATTACAGAAAGTCAGGAAGAAATCTATTTGGCTGCTTTTGCATGGGGAGATTTTCAGAGGGTTGTGCTGCTGCTTATAGTACCTTATGAAGTAAGCTGCTGCTTCTGCCTTTGTGGGCAAGGAAAGTCCTTGGGAGCCACCGATTCACAGTGCTAGAGTTGGCTTTCCTTGGCCCCAATGGGACAGGGCTTTAGACAAGCCAGATGCGGGAGCTTTGTTGTCCAGAAATGACCCACTGGGGAGTAGCAATACACAGAGTGGCTGGAACTGGGTCATCCTTCCTAGAGAAAACAAAGTTGTTCCAGTCATCCAGACACAAGTTCCTGGAATGGTTTTTGCACAGGAGTGGCTTTAGGAACCAGTGCAAAATTTCCGTTGGGTGCAAAGTGCACTGGCCAGACCGCTGCGGGGCTTCCAAAGACAGAGCACGTGCATCCAACTTTATTTCATTTGAACTGGCTGCCTGTTTAATTCTGGGCTCAATTTGAGCCATTGGTACTGGCCTTTAAATGGGTTGGGAACAGGCTGGCACAGAAACTGCCTGCTCCCATACCAATCTGATGGACCAGGGAGGTTCTGCTCTTGCTTCTGTCCGAATGTTCAGTCATGTGGACAGGAAACAACAGACAGGTCCTTCTTGGTGGTGGTGCTGAGGCATCTGAGGAACTCCATCCTACATTTCACCAGGCTTCCTCTCCCCCGTCTTTTGCTGATGGTAAAACTTGCTATTATCTATTGTGATGTTCTGAATGACATTTTAGTACTCTGTTACTGATGTTTACTCTTGTTCTCTTAATGCTGCATGACTGTGATGTGTGTTTGCTCTCCCTTGACATTTCTGGGGGTCTCAGCTGATCACTTACGCTTATTTTGTCCTACAAATGGAGGCATGTAACACATCTTCTGAATTGACGAGACCTTCAGTACTGATCTAATCATCCACTACGTATTGCGATATTATGAATAATCATGGCTCCTGGGCTTGACCAATGAGGGGGCCTTTTTAATTTGGAGGGCAGCACTGGCATTGTAAGAGGAACATCACAGGCTGGAAGCCAGGGCCTTGTCAGCCTGCTTGATAATCCAGCCCTAAGCAAAACGGCCTAGCTCCTCACCAGGAAGAATACATCTGATGCTGTACTCATATTCTTGATTTTTGAGTGGACCGGCTGAATGGAGCTAAAAGCCCCCTCCTTGAGGACCTCTGCTGTCCATTTTTCCTGCTGTTAGAACTTTTTCCCCTTTTAGTGCAAGCCCCACCTTGGTTATGATTTTAATAGAAAAGCAAGGTGTTAATAATAAACCAAAGGGATCGGTACACCCTGAGCATAGGGGAAGCAGTGTATCCATGTCTTAAGTAAACACATAACTATATGTCCAGGAGGCCCCCCTTTCTCTGGACAAACCAGCCGGCGTTGATCAGGACGCAGCCTCCGCCCAGCTCTCTCCTGCACAAGATCAAGAGGACAACCGATCCCCCGTGCGCAAGTGGCCAGCTTTCCAGGTGGCAGATTCATGTTCCAGGAAGTGCTACTGCAAACACCAGGATCAGAGGAATCTACCCAAGAACGTCATGGCCTGGTGAGTGGAAGGAGGCCCCGAGTGTGAATCTCGCCCATCTAGTCACCAGATACACAGGGGCTCATCTGCATGGCCACAACTCGGTTTTCAGCCCCACTTAAATGTCACGATTTCTCCTAAAGAACAGTGTCAGGCAGCTGTGGAGGACGATTCCATCTTCCATGCTGAGCACGCCAGTCAATTCCCAGGATTCCCTTTGAAGGCTGAAGGAGCCAAAAGACAGCCCCTGAAGTCCATGGCTTAGATATGCCCATAGCTTTGCAAGGGGCTCAAAAGCTAGAGGGACATTCTCTGGCCAAATGGCAAGACCCTGCCCTTGTTGACCCCGCTCTCTGTCACTGAACTGGTGGAATCTTAACTGCTCTGGCACATGTGCTCCCATGGAACCGTGTTCCACAAAAAGCTGGCCAGTGGGAGCTGAGCACCGGCTTAGAAGGGCAGTAAAAAGCAGGGGGTGATGCCCTCAATCAAACCTATCGCCTTGGCCATACAATTGCAAGGTAACCTTAAGCAAGGCACCTGCATCACCTGTGTAGCACCCAGCATCGCCTGCCTGCATCACCTGTGCAGCTTTCAGCAGTCCCGTTCACCTCCGTACATAGCCCAGACTGTAATAACGGAACACATAGTTAATCCTGATGGCAAAGTTCCTTGGGAGAATCAGCATTTCAGGTGTTTGTTCAGCGTTTGCCTAACACATCTGGCAACAGAATTAGGAGGCATTTGATCATTCAGTTTAGAAAGGCAAGCCACAGAGAGCAGTAGCTCAAGACAGCTCCCACGGAAGGATTTCCTATTATGTGTTCCCCTCATCAAGTCTGTGGCTTGTGTGATTCAGCGGCATGCTGGTATTATGTACAGCCCATTTGCTCCCACTTGGTTCTCCCTGTGAAAGTGGGCAGCTAACTGAAACAGTGCTGGTTGTGTGTGTTGTCCAAACCTGGGATTCCAGCATGTTGCATCAGGTTTATCTTTGCCTTACACATCTTGGCTTGTTTGGGAGCAATGAACCAGGATCACTGGTTTGGATAACATACTAAATAAGCTAATCCTGGTTTAGTGTACAGCCAGTCCTTGGAGGACCCAGCCAGAAGCTTGATGCCCTTTGTACTAACATTTACCTTAGCCACGGTTAGCCAAGATCCCTGGAATCCTGGCTTGCCGTTTTGCACAAATGCTGTCGGTGTTTCCTTTGTAGTAAGACCATGCCATCTAACCCTGAATTATTGGTTAAATGTCAAGGAATCTGTGAGTAATTGGGAAGATTTATAATAATACAATTACCTAGGTTTGTTTTTACTCTTCTGTGTTCATGTAAGCAAATTTAGGGCGCAATCCTATGCATGCATGGACAGAACTTAATCTTACCATTCCCTACAGCATGGGAGTTGTTGGACTTCCTACTGTCTGAACAAGCCTAGGGTGGCACCAAGCCCAAGCGCCCCTAACATTTCTGGGATCAGCTCTCCTTTGCAGCTGCCTTTCAAGGGAGCCACTGCAAAGGACGAACTGTGTGGCCGCTCCACTGCTCATTCCTCCTCCTTGCTTTTTTCAACCCCTCCCACACAGGCTGAATCCCTCCGCCAACCATCTAGTAGAACCACCCTGGGTTGCCACGGCCATGCTGGCTGTCTCGCTGGTTGCTGGGACCAAGTTCTGCCTGGACGCCTATGAACAGCAGCGGGTTGGCACCGAGGACTGAACGCCTTTCCTCAGGCTTCCTCATGAGTAAACTTGTACACCAGCAGCTTGGCCTGAGCCTTTGTTCGTGCACTGGGATCTCCTGCATCGACTGTAGTACATACTACACGACAGGTGAGGGCAACCCCGCCCCGCAGCTGTGGGCAGTGGGCACCGCACTGCCTTGGCTGGCAACCCCTTTGCAATCAAGCAAGGGCCAAAGGCTTCGCTCTCTCCTCATGAGCAAGAGGCAGCTGTGACGGGCTCCATACCCCTCGTGCCCCTTAGCTAGCCACTCCCATCTCCCTACATTTTGGCTGACGCATTGGAGTGTGCAGCTGAACTACATAAAGGGGAAGAACGTATCTCTGTCTCCCTGTCCTCTGACAGCAGTAACCCCATCAGGCCATGTCAGCATTCAGTAGCCTGGGACCACTTCCTGGTCATTCTCACTGCTTGCCTCCCTCTGACACTCAGAAATATGTGGAAGTGGCTGTTGTTTGCCTGACCTGGGACAGTGGGAGGGGCCATGGGGAACCCGAAGGCATAGCTTAGCAACCAGGTTGTCCAGGTTTGACCGTGTTTCCAGCCTCCTCACTACTGCCACATCCTCACACATTGTAGGATGGAGAGGGAGCACGTTCATGTACATAAAACTAACCTATGGCTTAATGCCATATTCTAACCAGGTTTTAGTAGCGGATCCTTCTCTTGTTCCAGCAAGTTTAGTATTCACTCATGACAACACTGCATTTGTAGAAGAAATTGTGTTTATTTAACTTCCAACCATCCCTTTAAGTGACTTGCACAAAAAGATGACTGCAAGATACCACATAAAAAACCCAAAGTCTGATCCTAATTCTGAGAGGCCTGTTTGACCCGTGCTGATCTGGAACAGAGTGTGTCTGTTTCACATGATACCAGGTGCTCCTGCAAGTACGTCTGGTGGACTGATGCACGATGCCAATACGCACGCACGCACGCATGCAAGGGACTTTCCACCCCCTCGGGGCTCAGACAAGCCCAAGAACAACCAGTCTGCATTTCTGAAACAGAACATCTCCCCACCTGGGACTAACAAACAATGTAACTGTTAATGACACAGGGATCGCTCCAGCTTACGAGGTTTACTCTGGCATCCCAGGAGAAATAGACAAAAAAGAATCCCACCCTCCACATAAGTAAAAAGCCTGTCAATTGATGGAAACCGGAGCAAAAAGGCTAAAATGAGGGAAAGCAGCAGCACACAGTCCCTGCCCGCTACACAATCATCTCCAGCTGCCGTGCATACTCGATGACTTGTTTGGCTAGCTCTGTCGAGGGGATGGTGGCATCTTCTGGTTTCTGCTGCTGGCCCGTGAAGCAGTAGTGGTTGTTTGGGCCGAGAACCCAACCACGCTGAAAGGGCAAGAAGAAGTCAGATGAGGGGTTGGTTGGTTGGTTGGTTGGTAGGAAAAGCATGCCAAGGCACAAGGCACGTGCAGGTTTGGTAAATGAACGACAAATGATTTACTCTCAAGCACGTGTGCACAAAACCTCAACTACTGGCTGTAATGCCTCATTCTGAAACATGACAGATCCCTGAAATACAGACGTCTTTTATTTCAGGGAAAAGACACCCACCCCCCAGTCGCAGAGACGTAACATCTCTAGGTTATTTCAAGACCAAAGCAAGCAGCCCTTCCTAAAATGAGGGCGCTTGGCCACAAAGGCTTTCTCTCCCACACCAGTCTAAATTCAGGTGGCCCTGGCACTTACGGAGCTTGCCCGAAGAATGAGGGCTAAGCATGGAGGGGTGTGCTATAAAAGCAAGTCCCCATGGAAGGAAGCAACGTCCCCTGCAGCAGTCAAGCAGAGAAGGGAGGGGTGCTGCTTCTCTTTCAACCCATGGGCTGGGTTCTATTCCAGGGAGGTTCTTGGGGCAGGGACACAGCCCCAAATATGAAACGGCAGCAGGTTTTCTTGCTCAGAGCTCTTACTGCCAAGCTTCAGTGAGCATTTCAATCTTTCAGAATGGAGCAAAAACACAGCAGAAAAGCCAGGAAGCCGCCAAACGATTGGTGGACAAAAGGGGTGAGGCCAGCGGGAGGGCAAACGGTCATCTTTCGGAAGCCCAGAGGGCTGATTTGGCTCTGGCGCTGAGCTGCTGCAACACTGATACCGTGGGCTCAGCCAGGCTACTGCAAGTGAAGCACGGCCCGGCGGCGGCGGCCTCACCTTCTTGGCATAGTCGGTCATCTTCTTGGGGGTGAAGAAGAGCATGCGCGTGGCCTCATTGAGCAGGATCTTTTCGTAGGCCTTCTCGATGCAGCTGGCAATTTCATCCCTGGGCGAGAGAGAACAACAAAAGCCGAGCTAGCAGGCGATACAGGAAGTTCTTTCCACGTTCACACAGGCTGGGTGACTAGGGCACGTTCTGGTCCCTTTTGCGCGCTCAGAAGCCCCCGTGAGATCAATGGATGATGCAGCAGATGCTAAGTCTCTCCCATTAAAGCCAGTGGGATCGCAAAATAGTGAGCGTGGCCACGTGCGGGAGCAGTCCCTACTCTGGTTCAGCAATGCAGTGTTGTTTCCATAGGCCCCCACACACACAGCTGCCCCACAGCCCACGTTTCGAAGCATGGACGCAACGTTCCTGCTCCTAGGCCTGTAGTCGGGCAAGGTGGTCACACTGGACATCTACCTCGCCTTTCATCACTTGGCTGCACTAACGAGGCTCACAGAACTCAACTAACCTGACGGTGTCCAATAAGATGTCAATGAAGAAAGCGTAGCTCTCTGCCGGAATATTGCCTTTTGCCAGGAAAACTTTGTTGTAGCTGCCTTCCATCAGGTACTGAGGGGCGGGGTGGAAGAGGAGAACCACACAGAAAGAATGCGTCAGTCACCTCTTTAGGGAATCTCACCCACTCTGGGTACAGCAGTAAAGACATCTGAAGCCGTTTGATCCCTTAAAAAATGCATCCTCTCCCACCCACAAGCTCTGCTCCTAACTGGTACAGAGGATAAAGGGAATGTGCCCTGGATCTGGATCGCCACTTGTCTGCAAAGCCATACCCAGCACGCGGGCAGGCAGGCAAACGTGTGCATGCACACACAATGTTCCTCTGGTAGGCATGGCGTGGGCCTCAACTGTCCCAGGAAACACCTTTTGCAGCACAAGACTGCCCCCTTCTGGTTGTGTACAAGATCCGCTGGCAGGAGTACTGCCTTTCCAGAAGGCATTAGCTGCTACAGAGAGCAGGGCTTTTTCCATGCAGCTTCCCTGGGAGAGAAGCAGAGATTCTGAGAAGTGCGCTTGCTGTTGCGTTTGTACTGTGTTTCCGTTTTTAGAGTTGTTATAGGTTATCGCTTCCTTGGGTGAAACTAAGATCATCTCCTTCCCTCATTAGAGGAGGAGACCTTCTTGGTCAAGGCATTGCTCTGCACTTGTGAGGCAAAGCCTCTAGGCAGAAGTGAGACGGTACCTGCTCCAGAGATACGGGGTGCTTGATGTAGACGTTGGTTTGGATGTCCTTTGCTGGCAACCTCTCCAGCTCAGTGTGGAACTCAGCGACGCGGTTCTGGGACAGCAGGAAGAGGAGGTTCAAGCCCAGCAGCTGGTGCTTGTAGGCTGACTCTGGCAACTCGTCTCTGAGGCAGGAAGAGGAAAAACGCCGCCTGTGTCTCCAGGGAGGGATTACGGTCCCCTTGGGCAAGAGGCCCAGAGGAAAGTGGGGAAGGAAATGCAGCAGACAGGCCAAAGGAATGCTTTTGCCACCCGTGCCGTGGGAGCCCGCTGGTATCAGGGCAGGCACATACAGGCTCCCCTGTTGTGCCGAGCAGCTGGGATGCCGGGAGCAGCACAAGCGAGGTGGGGCGCCTCAGGAGGACTTTCCCCTGGCCAGCCCAGGAAGGGCAGAGCCACCCAGGAGGCTGATGCATTATGTTGCACTAATATCCAGCCCCCTTTCCTCTTACATGGAGGAGCTGAAGGTGCCTTACATTGTCGTCATCCTCTCCATTTCAGCCCACAACAACCCTGTGAGGTAGGCTATGCTGAGAATCTGTTGCTGGCCCAAAGTGAGAGCACTGATGAGCTTCAGCACAGAGTGGGTCTTGTCCCAGAAACAGAAAGAAATTGGCTCCCAGCGTGGGCTTCCAAACCCGATCAAGATCTCTCTGCCTGGAGCTGCACCCACAATTTTTACCTTGTTGGAATGGGAGGGGGGAGAGAGATTTTGCTCAAGGTTTTACAAGCTCCTTTCCGAGAGCTTATTTTGCTTTTGTTTTAGCATCACAAGCAGCCCAAAACTTTTCAAGATGCAAGAAGCAACCCAAGGAGGACCCCCTCCACCCCACAAACAGCAGTGCTTACTTGTAATCAAAGTAGTAGCACTTGAGCTGGGCCATGTATCTCTCAAAAGATGGGATGTCTTTCTTCAGGATACTCCACTGTGCTCCGATTTCTAGGATATCTCCTTGGATGGCAGGAAAAGAAATGAGGGACTGAGCATTAACAAAAACAAAGGAGCAGCAATATTAGAGCAGAGCAAACTAATCAACCCAGTCTCTTGTCTCCAATTTTTCAAACTTACTGCCCTTCACACACAACCCAGGGAAGAGGATAGGAGGGCAAATGAAGTTATTTAACAGGCTATCGAGTTGTTGCAGTAAAGCAACCTCATAGCAGCCCGATGCATTTTAATTTTGTACCATACATTGTTGGGCTTTCTTCAGGAGCTAACATTTTAAAATCTAGCCTGCATAAATCTCTGATCAGGTGCAGGATTCCACAAAGACAGGCAGGGTTATAATAAAGACATGTTCCGCTGAACAGAGATAAGGGTACAGACTTTCTTCATACAGCCTAGGGGTTGGAGAGGTTTTATTTCCATTTTGGCTTGGGAGAAAGGAGCCAAGGTAGATGGACGGCAGGTGGCTGTCCTGGAGATAAACAAAGAGCTTTTGGGAGTTGCATTTGTTTCCTGGGCCTCTTGTTACATTAGGAGTTCCTCCTCGATCTCAGCCTTGGGGATCACTGGATTGTACTCACTTGCCAAAATGAGCTGCTGCTTAGTCAGTTTTGTGCCTGTGGTGGGTAAAAAGTTGAGCTCAAGCAGAGCTAGCTGGAATGGAGAAGGAGGAGAGAGCGGTCACAGACGAGCCATATTACCGACAAGCAAATCATGTCCTAACAACCCCACAGGCTCTCAGGCTAAATGGCAGGCCTGCACTAAGGCAAGATTGCTTCCCATCACAGATGCCCACAGTACCTAAGTGGACAGTATCACCCACTGATAAGCATCTGGAAGCCAAGTGGCCGAATCTGGCCAGAAAGCCATTTTCAGTTGGTCTGCTACCCATGACTGCCTTTCCCTTAACACAGGAGTGGACAACTCCGGGCCTTCTGAATATTTTGGTCCTCCAGATTCTTGGCCTACAACTCCCTTCAGACCTAACCAGCATAGCGCATGGTGAGGAATGAAAGAAACTGTTCAAAACATCGGGAGGAGATGCATCTTAAAGAAAGGAGGTAGCAGGAGATCTCTAGGTGATTTGGACTTCAACTACCAGCCTTCTTGATTACTGGCTATGTAGGCAGGGATTGTTACAAGCTTAAAGTTCAAAACACCTGGAAATCTTACCTCTGGCCCACCCTGTAGCAGAAGATCCCAGGGCACAAAAACCACATGGAGTACCTGTTGGGTCTTAGAGCTGGCCTGTGTGGCCTGATAGCACATCTTAAAACAACCCTGCAGCAGTGGAAAGTCAGCTGTGGTAGGCCCAACCTTCTCACAGAGAAAGCCCAGCATCCTCCAGAAAGCAGTTTTAATACCAGGACTATTCAGGAAAGTGTGCCTTTGCCACATCTAATATAGCCATCCTTTTTTAGCTGGGCAGGCTTCTCACAGCACAGCACTTCTAAAGAGTGCCATCGCACAAGCATCCTCACTTGTAATGTGTTGATCTACCCCAGGGAAGATTCATGACTGTTGCAGGTATTGCCAGATGAACTTTAAAACTCAGTATACTGCTATTAAAAGCAGCAATGGTTGCTAGCCTAAGCAACCTTTTAATTAAGAAAATCAGGACAAATTCATGAGAACTAGAACCATTGATGGCTTTCAGCCAAGAGGGAAACAAATGGAACCTCCATCTTCAGAGGGAGGACAGCCTTGCTCAGACTCTGAGCAGGGTCTAGTACCTGGTCTCATCTGGGAGTTAGCTGGTCATGGTTGGTAGCGATCCCCTAGACCAATGGGAATCTGGTCTGCCTCAGCTGTGGGAGTGCTCAGCAACCTGACTCAGCTGAGAGGTTCATAAACAGGTTTGGGCTCGGGCAAAAACATCCTGGCTGAGTCATGTGCCTCTCTTCCACATCCTCCTGGGAACAAGAGGCCATCTCTGGGATAGGTGTCCAATGGCAAAGGAGGCTGCCAGCAGTACAGCCCCTGCAGAGCCACCTTCAGCCTTTTGGGGTGCACTCCAGAGCTTCCCTTTCCCACCACATGAAGCAATTATCTGTGCCTGCCCCCCCATCTCTGCCTCTTCCAGCGTGCACACGCAACTTTAGTTTCTGCTGCACCCAGACTTTGTGGTGCAAGATGCTAGTTTCCATCTCCTTCACAACTGAAGATTTCGGTGTCCTTTAAAAGGGAGCTTTCAGCCCTCCCTTTCCACAGCTTCTCCGCTTCCTTGTATCCATCAGAGTGCGGTGGGTGTCGAGGCAAGCAACTTCTGGCCCTCCAGCTGTCCTGGCTTCTCCCCACTCCAGTCTTTCACTACTGGCTCAGACTGATGGGAGTCCATAACGTCTGGAGGGCAAACAAATTTCCCACTCCTGCCTGACACTTGCCTCCTGCTGCTACACCAAACCCCACCATCTTTCCCCAAACCCCAACCCCTACTCCAGGTGACAGTTCCTGAGAGTCGGTCTTTGAATGACAGTTCCGGGATCCCCCCCGCCCCCCGGGAGGCGCCTGCTCCCGAGATCCCCCTCCCTCTCGGTGCCAGCCTCCCTCGCGCTTCCTGATCTCCCATTCACGGCGGTGCCCCTTCTTCATCCTCTCTCCCCGCGCGGCTTTGACCTCCGCCCCCTCCCACGAATACCTTTTCCAGGAACCCCCTCCTCAGGCCTCTCCTGCTGCTGCTTGGACCACCCTGGTCCAGGTCGCGCTCCCCACCCGCGCCGGCTTCCCCCGTCCCCTCCTCCCTGGATGCCGGTTTCTAGGTGCTCCGCCCGAACCTGAAAGGCCGGCCGGCCGGCGGTCTTCAGGCCCCCAATGCCCACCCTGCGGGCCGATTTCAGGGCCCCGCGACTGTCTCAAGACCCCCTCCCTGGCCCTTTACCTTGAGGCGGCCCAGCAAGTCTCCGCACTTGCTCAGGTTGAGGTTCTTGCGGTTCCACTCGGCCCGCAGCTGCTCGTACATACCCGCCGCCTCCTTCAGCCCCGCGACGCCCGCGTCCGCCCCATTCAGCACCGGCCCCCCGGACGCGGCCATCATCGTCGCCACCGCTGCCATGAATCGGCACCCGGCGGCGCAGCTGCGGCAGTCGCGAATCTGAGCGCGACCAGCCGCGCTTTACGGCCGCGGCCGGGTCAGTCAGTGACTCAATCCCTTAATCTCCATGGAGACCGCCTCGAGACCGGCGGCGGCGCGCGCTCCGGTGACGCAGCAACCGCTCGGGCGCCGATTGGACCGCGTCGTGTAAGCGCATGCGCAGAAGGGGAATGACTGGTTTTGAGGCGTGGAGCGAAGCGAGGGAAGGAATGCGGGGGCGTTGGCGCTAATAGGGCTTGAATTACTTCGTTTTGGGGCGCGGCGGGAAGACGCTTTGAAGAAGGCCGGGGACAGGGACGCCTAAGGAGCATGGCGTTGTGAATTCCTGTGACGTCATAGACGCTGCAGTCAGTAGGTTGGCTGCTCCCAGCCTGTGACGTCACGGTGCAAGCCCTAGGCGTGGGGTGTAAGGCAGGCCGCCCCAGCCTGGAGCCTTCCAGATCCGTTGAATGACAGCTCCCATCAGTTCCAGCCAGCATGGCATTGGGGGCTCCAGGTTGGGGAAGGATGGCATAACACTTGGAGCGGGATTCTGTACTGATTAACATTTTGAAGTCTGCACACTAAAAAGCCACTGTAGTCGCCTGTCCAAATATTGATCTTAAATGTGTGCACACAAAAACACCTGTATACACAGCTCTGGCCATACTGATCATAGTACACTGAAGTAGGCACTGATGCGTTGCAGGAAGTGAGCTGCTGAACTCTCCCAAATCAGTGTATTGGGTGACTTCAGTATCTATGTCAAGGTCACCCCAGTAATCATGGTTCAAGACTTAATGGGAGTCAATAATAGTATGCTTAAAAAAGAAATCAGGCCAGGCTATTCACCAGGACAAATGTTGGGCTTTTTACAGGGTTGGCTGGGGTGATGGTGGTCTGGAAGGCAGCTGAAGTCTTTCTGTCACATTTGCCCCTTTAGAACTAATTGCATTATCTTGTTATTCTGCCCCTTTAGAAATAATTGCATTATCTCAGCATTTCCCAGCCTAGTATTCACCAGACATTTTGGATGAAATTACCAGTTTCTGGCCACTGACCATACTGGCTAGGGCTGCGGGGTGGGGGGGGTGGGGTGTGAGTTCTATTTCAAAATATTTAGATAGCACAAGGTTGAGGACCTGATATGTTTCTTCCTCTGCAGGATCCCAGTAAATGAAAGCTAGGCCATTCTGTGCCAGAAGGAGATGGGCTACTTTTGCCTTCATCACAACATATAGTGCCTGCTAATGACAACCATTTCACAAACAGTGACGATGTGCACTCAGGTCAGAATCCATGTGGACCTTAAACCAGCTTCCCATTTCCATGTGGACCTTCTCACTGAATATTAAGCCAGCCTTTCTTTGGTTCTGTGTAACAACACCACAGCACGACCAAATGCTTGTCAAGGGACCAGAGCGTTGGGGATTGGGGGGGGGGGGGGGTGTGGGGGGCATCCACATGGAAAAGAGTCATTGAAATAAGAATCTGAGTTCCAGATTTATTTTTTTCGTAGGTCCCTTTGCAAGAAGCAGCTGTGATGTGGCAGCCTTTCATGCCTGTTCTGCTCCTTCTCCTGCATATGAAAGGTTACATGTCGATGACGGATTGTACATGGGTAGCTGTGGTCAACGACTTTGAACACCTTGGGGGTGACCGGAATATCTTCTTCAAGCAGCATAAAATTCTCGAAGTGACTCAGGTCTTCCAGGAACTAGTGGATTCAGCCATTGACCCCAAGGACAAAGATGCCGTTAGTAATACTTCACTTTTGGGAAGGGGGATGTTGGAAAAAGGATTTTGTCATTTGCTTTCATGTTTAGAAGAGCTGCTGGGATTCTGTATGTCTTGAATTGTTGTGAAGTTCAGCTGTGACGTTCATCTCGTTTCCCCCAATTTGAAGAGGACTTTTGAAGCACTTTTGCTCTTCCTAGTTCAACCATCCTAAACAGATTGGGATGGTCAAAACGCTCATCCATCTCTCTGTTCACCCCTGACTCCAGGTTAGTGCCCACAGCAGCCAGGGAGTCAGCCAGACAATAGGCGCTCCCATGCTCAGAAGCCAGGTCTGACAGACACAGATAAGGGGCTGCGAGTCGTCTGACACAGAAGCTTTTATAGTTCTTCCAGTGAGGATGTCAGTGGGCTTCCTGGATTGAGGAAGGCACCTTGACCATCATAAGTTGTCACGAGGGCATCAGGATGTGGTGGAAGCTGCAACTGGAAGCTTCTCACCACTAGGGGGCAGCAGTGCACAAGCCTGGAGGTTCTTATTTCCAGTCCCGGCAGTTGTCACCTCGGAAAACTCTACTTGGGGACTGAAACTCTGATGGATTTTTCCAGTTTGCTCCTGCAGGTTCAACTCCCTTTCCCCCAGCTGGTGTCAACTGGTTTTGTAGTGAGCTAAGGCAAAATATGGAGCTGGGTTTTTTAATGGCAACTTGCATAATTTTGGGGTGGGAGATCTTGAAACTGTGGTGCAAGTGGTGCCATATTCTTTAAAATTTCTTTTTGTAATCTTGCACAAGTGACCTGGGAGGCATATTCCCCTCCTGCCAGTTCTAGTCAAAGCACTTGTTGATTCACCCACCCCCGCAAAGCAGGAATCACGGCTGTTCTCAACTAAAAGGAGTCTTGCATAGAGAGGATAAAACTGATAAAGTGCTTGACAAGTGGGGAATATCCCTTTGTGAGAATGCTTAGCAGATGCCAAGTGGGAAAAGCTTCTAAAATAATTGTCTCTCTCTCTTTTTTTTACAGAAGTACCTAGGATTTCCATATTACCTGAAAATTAATCTGACCTGCAGAAATCTGGTAAGGGAGGACTTGCCTGTTTTGTGCATGCCTACCAGGTCATTGGTGGGAGATGAATTCTGGTTTAAAGGGCACTTCCTGATATTCTGCTGCTTCAGCAGTGTGCAGATCGGCACTGTAAATTAGGTTTAAGCCACTGCTTTTGAGAAGCATCATGGTAACAGTTTCCAGCAGAGTCTTGCGGCTTAGCACAGTAATTTCAAACAGATCAAACCTCGGTGTGTAATGAGAACTCAGCACAGCCGAGTGCTGTGGAGACGTTTTGTCACAAGGGTTCGTCACCATGCACAAGACCAACTGACCTCCCCTTCCAGAACTCAGCTGTGACTCTTCGGACAGCCCATTACAGCGGCTTGAGGCCAATCGTGACAGTCACTTTTCAAGAACCTGTCCACTCTGTGCGTCAGAAACAAGAACAGCTACAGATCAAAATGCTGGCTGCTCCGTTTAGATTTCCAGGTATTTTGTGAGCGCTGGGCCGCTTCAGCATGTCTCCCTGTGAAGCAGTGGGGCCAGGGAAACAGCATGCATGAGAAGGACCTCATCCAGAAAAGTACTCCTTCTCTGGGCACTTTCCAGATCTCTTTCCAGGGCTGAGCAGCCTCAGACAGCAGATCTGGGCTCTCATGACCAGCTCGTGAATTTGGCACAATTCACCAGGATGCTGTTCTGCCCGGGCTTTTATCAGAATGCTTCTCCGTGAGTTGTGTTCTAGGTGAATTAGCAGAATTGGGCGTGCTGTTTGGAGTTTATCTCCGATTCTTCCAGATTGTAGCGGCTTCTTCCCCCCCTTGTAGTGTGTCAACTAGCAGCAGTCACAACAAAGACTGCCATCGAAACATCTGGTCTGTGTGGGGCTATGCCGTCATTTAAAGAGATGGTGCTTCGCAGTCTTGTGTCTTTGCTGACAGAGGAACGGTGCTTTGAAAGCTCAGCCGGTGGCACTGACTGAAGCGAGCGTGAGCCCTGGCGTTAGTGGCCCTCTCTCAGCTAGTGCGCTGGGCCGACTCCCCTCTGCCGCCCTCCAAGGTTGCGTTCCTTAACGGCCACATTGGACAAGACACAGTGGCTGATTCCCTGTGGTGGTTGATCCTACAGCCCTTTAGCACAGCTGCTGGCACTGCTTTTCTACCATCCTCTGAGAGTGGAATTAAAATGGTGATTACGTATAACACTTAAAGTAGCACTGCATTATTTAGGAATGCCCTTCTCCAAGGCCTTCATCTTTCTCTAACTTTATTCAGAAAGAAGTCATGTGACAAAGGAGGTATCACGTCTCTCTGCCACTTTATTCCATTTTTATGAGTTTGGCAATTGTGGTAACAAAAAAATCAAATTAAAAAAATTAATGCACTATTCCTCTATCTGCAAGGAGAGAAAAGGCACCAAATCCTCAGGAAACAAGCTCACCAATTAAGAGCCAGTGTAGGGATAACGATTGTGCAGCTGCACAGGAAGCCCCAAATTTCAGAAGCAGCAGTGGCTTTAGAAGAAAAGGACTAGAGGGAAGCTACTAATTCAATGACACAGCACTGAAAATTCTGAGTAGCAATATGTAGTAGCAGGACCAGGTCTAAAAAATAAAAAATAAAAAAAAATATGGGAGGACAAACAGAAAATCACAGTATGCTGTGATTTGGCAGAGGTCATCCGATGATTTCCAGGGGACAAAGTGATAACGTGTTTCCATTCTGAAGAAACTTGCAGATGTGAGAGCAATCAGTGTGAAGTTGCTAGCCCATAGCAATTAGTACTAGTCCTTCTGCTGGCACAGACGAGTGAGAGTGGCTGCGGCCCAAAAGCAGTCTTGAAAATGTAGTGAAACAAAGGATTTATAGACACACGCACGCAGAAAACTTTTCCTGTCTGGTCACCTGGAAGAGATTCCCGTTCACCACAGGTGAACAGACGACGCCTGTTTGCAAGTCTCAGTGGCATCATTTGCTGTCCACGTCTTCCCCATCTCCATCAGGCTGTGAGAGCGAGGTGGTCTGCAGGATGGCCTGGTACACCCCAATGCCCTTCATGAATGGCAGTGTCGTGATGAATGTGCTGGTGGAAAGCAATGGCCTTGGTCTGCCTATGGAAAGCAAGAGGTGAGGGCGACATTTGTGTTTGTGTTGCGACATCCCAGTTTTCAGGCAGGTGTGCCAGCATCTTGCTTGGTGGGTTGCTTGGGGTCACTGTTTTGAAAGGTAAACCACCCTGGTGGCTTTGGAATCCAAATAGCAAACAGGAAGGCAGATCCATGGAGACATCCATACCCAAACACGTACGTCCTGTTTCCTTATTCCTAGGTTCTCCATCAACATCAATGGCTATGCGGAAGCAATACAAAATGCGGTTGTGTTCACCATCGGAGAGAAGGTGAAGCCCTGCACTCAGTGGGGACACGCATGCGGGGCTGTTAGGGGCAGCGGGAGGTCTTGAAAACATGGATCGCATTCTGCAAATGTGGATGCATCTCCCTGGAGGTGGATTTGCGTGAACGCCCACAGGGCAGCACTCCCAAGCAATACACGGGCTGGTCAGGTTCTACAAGTTTATATTTTTGCCAGCTCCAGCATCCTCCTCCACTGACTGGAGGGTGTAGCACAGCCTTTGTTGATTTGATGCCCTTTAGCTGAGCTGGACTCCCGGCCTGCCCTGCCCTGGCCAGGCTGGAGGGCACCTGTCTCGGACGAGTGTGATTCAAAGTCAGATTTTTTCATCCTGTGGAAATACATAACTATTTTGATGCCTCCGTGGGTTACCCAGTCTCAGGCATCCATACATTATACTTTTACAGGAAGTTAATCTCTTGCAGGCATAATTCCCATTTTACTGCAAGGTCCCCCAGTGCCGATCCAAGTGAATGAAGAGACTGTGGAACTCCCACAGTTCAGCACCTTGTCCCAGGCAGGGCTTGGCTTGCTGCTGGAGTGCTGCCCCGTTCATGGGGCACACCTGAAGTTAGGCTGTGGGATGTCCCAACTGGAGTCCCCAGCTCACAGCCTGGCTTGCTGGCCAGCCATCCCCACTTTCCTTCCTTAGTCTTCCGGCATGTGCCAGGGCTTCCTGTGGGTGGATTGTCGAGTTCAAGCAGCGTCGTAGATCTTCAGATTCACCAGTGTGCGGATGTGTGGGACCGATGGCTTAGGAGGAGGGAAGGGGCACTCACTTGCTGCTGGCTGAACCTTCAGACATGGCGAGTCTCCACAGGTGCCCCCGCCTCTCCTGCCTCTCAGGCCCTGTTAACACGCACTGCAGGTCCAAACGGAAGCGCTTTCGGTAGCAGGCTGGCCTAACCGGGCGCTGCTGTATCGGGCCAAAAAGAACATGCCGCCTGTCATTCGGAAAGCTTAGCTCTCGGCCCGACTCGCCCCTTGCTGTGCTTTTTCAGAGCACGGCACTGAAACGTGCGGCTCTCAAACGAGCAGCCGGGGTGGCACAGCATGGCGACTCCGTACTGCAGAACGTGTCAGCTGAACCGCAGTAACCCTGACGCAGTAACCATGGGCGGCCGCTAACCATGTCCTCGCACTCTCCTTTCTGGTCGAGCGCAGCTGAAAACCTTGAAGGACTTTGTGTCTCTGAGAGACCCGTCCCGTCCTTTATGGCATACCCACCAACGAGCCCCCGTGCTGATTCTTGGCGGAGTCCCCGAGAACAAGATCGTCTTCCTTTCGGATACAGAGTTTGAAGATTTCTTTGCGATAGAGGTAAGGGGCAGGGACTCAGTCCCTGGGCATGAGCCAGCCCTGCCAGCAGCTCCTCTGTGGGCAGCCAGCCTTCCGCAGTGGCTCATACAAGCCCGTGACATGGGCATCGCCAGCTCCGGGTTTGTCAGGAGCAGGCCGGGGCCGGTGGGCCAGTCTTGGCAGAGCACGCGTTTTGCATGCCAAGAGCCTGAGGAGGTGATGAGCCCCACCTCTCTGGCTAAAAGGAGATCTGGTACCAGAACCAAGAGGGACCTCTGCCCCAGAGAGTTGTGGCCCATCTTCAGGAATATAAGCAATGGCTTTTTCAATGGGGGCATATTTAACTGTAGAATTTCAGAAGGGTTTGGGCTCACTTCCTGGGCTACTTGCCAAGGTCATCCGAGGCTTTGGGGGAACCATCCCTGTATTCAGCACGTAGCTTGTCCGTCCAGTTTGCCCAGGTGAGGCTCACACATGGGGGTGGGTTGCAGAATCAACAATACCGTGGGGGGACAATGGTGTCCTTGTTTCTTACTGTGTATCTGAGTCCATCGTGTGTGCATGGCATCCTATTGAGCTTAACAGGCAAAAGTGGGCAGGCCCCTGTCCCCAAGGAGCACAGAGGCGACAGACAGAGTGTCGGCACCCTCTGCTTCTGTTCACTTGACACAGGGGAAGCCTAGGAGAAAGTGGCGAAAGGGCTAAGCAGAAATCCCCCAGTGCTTCGCTGCCGGTGTTGTGCATCTATTATGTTTTTCGGTTGTGTTAAACTGTTCACCCACCGTTCTGAGAAATGTGGCTCATCGAACGGTTTAGGAAAATAAATAAATAAATAAATATCCAAAGTGGGCCTGTGGTCCACTGTAAACCGTGACCCTCCTGCCCCAAAGCTTTGCCGTGTGACACAGGCCAATGGCTGGAAACACTCCCCCCCCCCGCAAGAAAAACTGGGCATTTATCACGTGAGGGGGCAAGTAGAGAATTCCCAGCTGCCCACTAAATGAATATTTTCAGGTTTTCTGGGGGCTGTTTCGATCCTTTAATCACAGAGCAGAGGCAGGGAGCCAGTGGTCCTCCCGATGTGGAATTTCAGCTCCATCAGCCACAGTCAGCACGAGCAGTAGTCAAGGCTGGGGGGAGTTGTAGTACAGCAAGAACACCTGGAAGCGTATATACTCCTGCCGCAATGTGAAGTAGGGCGGGAATTCGGTGTTCCCTGTTCATCTTCCCTCCTAAGGATCCACCCACACTTTCCCCCTAAGACAAAGCCGAACTCCTTTGGTCGGCTTTTCTGCTGCAGGTTGGCATTGACAGCTGCTGGATCGGCTCCCTCTCGTGCCCACAGAAGGCCTTCTCCTCCTCCATCTCTGATACCATCGCTACCGAGAGCACCCTCTTCATCCGGCAGAACCAGCTGGTCTATTACTTCACGGGACATTACCCGATTTTGTATATGAACAGCTCAGGTTCTGGTATGTCTGCCTGAACAGCCCGGGGCATTTCCACGCTGTTACGTTTGCATTGCTTTTATAACAGCTTTAACCTCCGTGACTCATCTCAGGGCGTCTTGGGCATGTCAGTTGAGCAAGGATGTTGCAAACCCTGCGTACATTTATGCAAGAGCAAGTCAGGCTGAGGGTGGCAGCCGCAATGCTGTGCCTACTGGGAATGGGCTCTCGGGCTACCTCTGGGTCTTCGGGGGAGGGGACGGCCTGCTTTTGCATGTTAGCTAATGCTCCAGTGTTCCTGAGCTGTGAGAAGGTACAGGAATGTGCACGGAACCACAGGAAGCGCTGCTGGGGATACAGGGTGGATGCTGCCTTCTCCTACGTCAAACGTCTTGTAGAGCAGTGGCAGTTCAACCTTCTGTCTTCAGGGAACCTTTCCATCCTGCCACATGCGTCGCCAAACTCCCGTGCATCAGCCTTGAGGTCTCCACATGTTTTGCAGGGTCCTTGGGCGTGCGTGAGAGCGCATGCTCCGCCCCACGTGGGGCACTGACTTTCTGGCTCGAAGACAAGAATATGACGCAGCTGCATCTAGTCACCCTCTTCCTGTAGCTGCTCATTGGACAGGCTGCTTTTCTAAAGGGTTCTGGGCACACTTGGTCGCACTTTGCAAGGCTCTCTCCACCCCAGCCTTCGCTTGACGGGCATTTACCCACTTTTAACCTGGGTGCAGTTGCGAGCCACTCCAATGCCTTTACTTGTCACATGTTAGCTAAATGCAAGGTTGTTCGGGATAACCTATAGTTGGAGGAGAAAATCAGTCTGTTTCCTCCCCCCCTCCTGTTTTCAGAGGGCAGGAGGATGCTGCAAAATTTCAGAGGCTGGAGACTGACCGTTAAAGGCAGAAGCAGGATCCCTTTTTTAAAGCCAGACAAAATCAAACAAAACGGGGCATTCAGCCGCCATCCACGCTGGCCATGGCCCTCCAGCCTTTCTCCCTTTCTCTAGAGCTGTGGACACGCATCTTGAACAACGTCTGCGTGAAGAAGTTAAATCCAGTGTTTTTTGCTAAGAACGACACTGAATACGTGATTGCCCTTGGGGGCGGCTGGCAGGACGGACACTTCTTTCTTCTTACAGTCAGAGGTATTTTCCCCCTGTGCCACGTAGGCTGTGGGGCAGAATGTGCAGCGCCTGGCTCTTGGGCCACTGCCCTGGGCCACGCGCCCAGCTGAGAGCTTGCGGAGTGCAAAGGCAAGTTCGACAGGGATCGCCTGGATGTGGAGTTTCCTGGCAGGTAGGGGCTGTTTTTATGGGTGGAGATGAGGGTGTCCTTGGCCTTTGTCCTATGCTTGAGGGCATCTTTCACAGAGTTCACTTTATTTTATGTTAGATGTCGTTTGGGTATCCTTAGCGAAGGCTGTGACTAATGAGTCCGTAATTGCCTTACTGTGTTTTTAGTTATTCGTTGTAAATCACCCAGATCAATGTTGTTATTGGGCAGCGGATGAATGAAGGAATGTGCCGGTCAGAATGTGGCCCGGCGTGTGCCGGGCGGGGGGAGCCCACGGTCGGGGCGTAAATCTGGTGGCACTGGGCACTTTGTCCATTGCGGGGAAAGGGAGGGGGAAGCATTCCAGCCTTGTAATCCTACCCTCTTGTTTTATAGACGGAATTGTGAAGGCCTCTGGCTCTCTGAAGACTGACAAGGACACAGTATGCACGTTCATGAAATGTAGGTCCTCCTTATTTTTTAAATTCCCCCCTCCCTGTGGTAGGTTTCCTAGTTCCAGGCGTCTGTGGAGAGTTTTATTGCAGGCTGTGTCTTCTAAGTCTTGGCTACATACAGCATTTGGGACCAAAAAAGCAGCCATTATGTAGTGTGAGTTGTATGGGGAAGATCCATACTTCTGTCACTGCTGAACCGCAATGTTAAACCTTCTGTGCCATATTTAATAGTCACTCTCTCTTTCTAGGAGAGTACTAGGAATTGTTGTGGTTAGTTGCGAAGTTGTGTCCGACCCGTCGTGACCCCATGGACAACACTCCTCCAGGCCTTCCTGTCCTCCACCATCCCCGGAGTCCACTCAAGCTCACACCTACTGCTTCAGGGACTCCATCCAGCCACCTCACTCTCTGCCTCCCCCTTCTTCTTTTGCCATCTATTGTTACCAGCATTAGGGTTTTCTCCAGTGAGTCCGTCCTTCTCATTAGGTGGCCAAAGTATTTGAGTTTCATCTTCAGCATCTGGCCTTCTAAAGAGCAGTCAGGCTGATCTCCTCTAGGACTGGCCAGTTTGATCACCTTGCGGTCCAAGGGACTCGCAGGAGTCTCCTCCAGCACCACAATTCAAAGGCCTCAATCCTTCGGCGCTCAGCCTTCCTTATGGTCCAGCTTTCACAGCCATACATTGCAACTGGGAAAACCATCGCCTTGACTATACGCACTTTTGTTGGCAGGGTGATGTCTTTTTAGTGCTTTTTAGTATGCTGTCTAGATCTGCCATAGCTTTCCTGCCCAGGAGCAAGCGTCTTTTAGGAATTAGAATTCCTTAAAGACAGCATGAAGGATAGGCCACAATGACTTGCCATGCCATCGGACCCTGAGTGGAATGCCTCATTTGGGGTGGAGGGGGGAACAGGCAGCAACCCCTAGACATCCTAGAAACAGCCTATGGGTTATATGATGGTTGCTTCCCCCTCCAACAAACCCCACTGGCTGGGTTCAGAAGACATGGCATGGCAGGGGAAATAAACGCTTGTGGCTTGTCACTCATGCTGCAATCATGTGACTGAGGTCAGTTCTGGCATGGATAACCTAGCTGGCAGTTTTGCTGAGGCCTCAATCCCAGCCTGGGACGAACAGCGGACTAGGCAGTTGGGAGCCATAGCAACTTTGCAGTATCCAGAATTGCCGGAAGAGTCACTGCAAGTGTTACCAAACCTGGGTGAGAATCCATCTTTGGACTCGCTCTGTGGTGGTGCTGATTTTTGAAGAAATTTTACAACTCCACCTTTGCATCTTTGCGACGGGGGCCAGCAGTGCTCTTTCAGGTGGCCGAGAGCCTCCTTATAGACCTGGTGACCAGTTTGCTTTCCATTGTGCAGATAAAATTGCTTGTATCCACCTAGGATTCTGTTCTGGAAACACAGACGGATGCAGCAAGAACTCAATCTAGATATGTTGTTATGGATAGTTTGTGTCTTGTGCAGCTTGAGAATCGTGGAACAAGGTTTTTGGAGCTTAAAAACCCGATTCCGCCAGAGCACAGGGAACATAAAATTTGGCACAGGGTGCTGCTTTGTTTTTATTTCAGTGAAGAATCAATTTCTAGCTGTTAAGGCTCTAATGAACATCTGTGAGCTCAAGTATAAAGAAGTCAGAGAAGCTGGAATGGTGGCTGAGCACGATTTCTGCTGATTGGAGTCCAGGGTTTTCATACTGTGTATGCCTTCATGCCCCTCCCATGACTCGTGGGACTAGAATAAATTATGCAAAGTTATAAAAATTGCAGAGGGGTATTATGCCAAATAAAAGAGAATTGTTGCCAGTTTCCTAATTTATGGCAGGCTGTAGAATTCAGCTTTTCTAGCACAGAGTATCCAGTGTATTTATCTTTTGTATGATTTATGTCTTTTTAGACTGAGTTCTTTTCTCTTTGTTACTACTGCAGCATTTCTGCAATTGGTATGTGGGAGGTGCCAACCATGGCATCTTTTATCTTTTCATCTAGGCCTTCTCTGACTGATGGTGCTGTTAAGTCTTAGTCCTCTGATTTTGAATGCTTTAACTGAGGATTTTAACTTGTAATTTTAAATGCCTTGAACCAAGCTGTTTAGTTTTTTCTGTTTTAAAATGTTTTAACTCTAGAATGCCTTGTATTTTTAGAAAAGTGTACATTGTAAACCACTTTGAGATGTCTTTTAACTGTAGTCAAGAACTCTATAAATTGCTTAAAGGAAATATGGGAAATGCTGGGAATGCTGGGAAATATGGGGAGTCGTAGCATATTTTCCTCCCTAAACATGGTATAGGATTGTATCATAAAGAATGAATGTTTTTGGGGTGTACAGACATACAGCTCATCCCTCTAGAGGTTCCCAGTGTGATTTTGAGTGATGTTTTTTCCTCTCCAGTTGAAAAGTGTTCTATCTTGTGGGCCCTTTTCTCTACAAATGAGAACAAATTCTATTTGCTGGTGCACGATACGAAGACGGATAATCACTCTATTGTGGCGTACTACCAAGGTTAGTCAGGCACTCGTATGCATGGTATTCGTATCATTTCTTACATTTAGAATTTAACGAGGCACTGTGCCAAAAAGAAAGAGAGAGAGAGAGAGAGAGAGAGAGAGAGAGAGAGAGAGAGAGGGAGAGAGAATGATTCTGCTCTGTAAAGAGTATGGCACAAAACAAAGGGAAGGAAAAGGAAGAAAGAGACACCTTTGCTTCATCCCACCCTCCTCACCAAGGGGTCCGTAACCCACTTGCAAGATAAGTAAAAAAGAAGCTATAGCTGTTAACTATGGGCAGCTCACAGTTTACAACCCAACAACAAGCCGTGGAGTTTTTGTGGCTAACAAATCATGGTTCAGTAGCATTTTTGGGTTCAGCCCGCACGAGGATCCATATTTCAACATTTCACCATTCCGTGACAACCCGGTTGTTTCTGTGCTTCCGATTTTGACATTTGGCTTTTTCTCCCCTCCATCTGCAGCAGAGAAGTATTTTGAAAAGGTTTATGCCATCCCTACGCATGTTCCCAAAGGTAAGAATCACAGCAGCATTCCTTGATCAGGCCCTGGCAGAAAGCAGTCGAGGAATGCACTGAAACAGCAAATGAGCAAATGCAGAAGCGAAGGAAAGGATGAGGAGGATGGGCGATGGTGGCCAGTCCGAGGAGTCCTCAAGGGGGCGTGCATGCGGGCTGCCGTTCTGCACTGCGGAGAGCCATCCCTGGGTGGACGGAGGCTGCACCATCTTTTCTGCCAATGTGTTGTTCATTGTCAGGAACCTTTATTGTCACTGTCCCCTCATTGGCAGAACTGGGTTTTCTGCGAAGGCATTCATATGCATCTTCACAAGCTCATACTGCAAATTCACACTCCCCAAAATGCACAAATTCCTCCAAAATAGACATATTTTGTGTCTGTATATTTGAAAATGTGTATTCAGCCTATTGGGGAAGTGTCATTTTTATCAGTTTTTAATTTGTTTCTATTTTTCTAGAACTGAATTTATGTAAAATTACAGAATTGTTTAAAAAAAGATCCACAAGTCCACAGAATTTGTGGAATCTGTCAGGGTCTTCGGAACTTGGGAATTCAAATTTAGAGTAAGCTATGGAAAGTTGCAGACACGTGGCATTCCTGACCATTGGCCATGTTAGGAAGGGTGCCTGGAAGTTTAGGTCCAAAGCATCTGGCAGTCTGCCTTCTGCCCATCCCTGACTTAGGCCAGCCACTTAGCCATTGCCAAACGAGAGGAAATGCCTCAGAAAAAGAGGACTGGAGAGCACTAAGATTTGCATAGCACCTTTGTGCAGAGACAGGAAACTGGAAGGAATTATTGTAAGCGAAATAGCCTTCCTGCTAGCAGAGAAAGCCGTGGCTCGCTGGCCCATGTGTCTGCCTGTACTGATGTCCGTGCACCAACTGCGGATGGGCCACTTCAACAGCCCGGCTCTCTCTCCGTCTCATTAAGCCAGATTTGGCCTGGACAGCCCTTCCGACAGAGGACTGTCCTCTGTGAAGTATGCCACTTAGCCATGGTTCACACACGCCTTTTCCAAAAGTTCAGACCGAAACTCTAAGAAAAAGAAGAGGTGGGGGGAAGAGAGGGTTCTCTCAGTGACACCCCTCTTCTGTAGGCAGCCTCTAATTGCTAAGATCACCCTATTTTGTGATGACCTCCTCTCGCCTTCCTTTCTGCCCTGCAGCCTCTGATAAAGGGTTTGTGATGCTGTTGGGACTAGAGCACTATACAAATACAGCCCTCACCCCCAGGGGTTTGGCTTTGAACCCCAGCAGTAAGATGTTCTACGTCTGGGGCAATGTCATCTTGCAAAGGTAAGGTTCCCTGCCAAAACTTGCTTTGTTTCCTCTTTGGAAAATAAAATGGCTGCTGCCCAGAAGCCAACATCTGCAGGCTTGGGCCTGTACCCTCGGGTGGCACCCTGTCTCTTGCACATCCTCCTGTCTTTCACCTTAGCTTCCGCCTTGTGCTGCTTTCCAGAAGAGGGAGCACCCAATAGAGGTGCTGTTTTCGCTTCTACAAGGCTGCACAAGCTGCCCTAGCTTGGAAGAGGGGAGAGTTAGCAGCCTGGAGGTTGGCCTCTTCAACTTGTTTGGGGACGTACTTCCCCATTTCATAGCATCATGTTTCTGTTGCTGTCCCTTTCCCTTTCCCTCTTCCTCTCCCCAACCCAATCCTGAGACTACATTTCCTGGAATGAATGAGGTTGGAATTCAACTCCAGCTGTTCCCTGATTTAACAGATACAGTGTTTTCTTTCCTTAATTCTGTTTTTTTTTAAAGCATAGAATAAATGCAATTTTGTGTTCTGAGGAAAATCCCCTTCTGCCTGCTCATGGGAATGAATTCATAAAAGGAGCTGAAAGACTAGAATTTACCAGACTCACAAGAAGTGGCTGAAAATGGATGCCCAGCATGTGCGAAGTCCATTGAAGTCAAGCCTGCCCTGGGAATGCCGCTTGGGCCTTGGAGGGCAGTGTATGCATTTTGGGAATGAATAGACTGAAATAAATCTAATCAGCCAGATGAACTTCACAAGATATAAAATATTTTTCATGTTTTAGTTTGGTGCAACACAGCCAGATATGCTGAGGGCAAAGTTACTCACCCTCCTCACGCGCCTCTCACAGTCTCTGTTCCTCCAGAAAACTCAGGCTGCAGCTCATCTATTCAGGAGACAGGCCTCACCCAGCAGTTTGCCTGCACATCTGGCCTCTGCTGGAATCCCTCTTCTCCTTCCTTTTTTCCTGGGAAAATATCAGAAGCTACAATCCCTCTTTTGCTCCCTGCAGTTTGGGAAAGGTAAAGGTGAAGTCCCGTCACCTGCTGCCACCACGTGCTGCTCTGGAGGGGGGTGAGGCACCGTCCCGCTGGAGGGCTGCCTGGCCGGTCGCCTTGCCCAGTTGCCAGCCCTGTGCGGGGCTTGACCTCCTCCTCCAGTACCTCACCTGGAACAAAACCAGACACAGCACCCGCACAGCAATCAATCACTTTTCAGCACAGTGTTCATTTATTTGGAAACTGCCCTGGGCTCTTGCCAGAGGAAGAAACAACAACAACAACAACTTTTTTATCTCAGTCAAAAGAAAAAAAACTTTCCGGGTGCTTAAAACAAACTTAAAAGCCTAAACTGCAAACCTGGGCATGAACCCGAAATGTTTTCCCTTGCTTTTCTTTACAGCAACGACATGGTGAGCTACATATACCTCTCCAACTTCCCAAGCAACTCCCCGATCAAGTATTTTGTTCTGTCCTTTACTGGGAGGATTGCCTTTGTGACGGACCAAGAGGAGGTACGTCTGCTAACCTTCCCCCAGATCCAGCGGCCGCTTGTTTCCAGAGGCCGCTCCTCCCCAGACGAGAGCCGACCCACCCCAGCCTTCCCTGGGAACAGAGCATGTGAGGAGAGCGACGCTTGGGCGAGACAGCCGGGTGGCGCTCCAGCAGCGTGTGGCCTAGCCCTGCCCTTTCCCCTGCCTCCCCCTCCCGTTAGGGCTCTGGGTTCCAGTCTGAGCATGCAGAGCGCCACGGGTCAACAACAGCAGCATTATCTTGCGAGGCATTGCAATGTTTTTATTAATTATATTATAATGCCATTGACAAATATGAGGCAATTAACAGTTAATTAGAACAGTTAAGGACTGTTTGTGGCCCACAGTTCCTGACTTTTTTTCTCTGAGGTTCAGTGGCCCTTGACACAGCACATATTAGAGCTGAGATACGAGCTGAGGACATGCGGTGTACAGTCTGGCCCTGCCCATATTTAATCAGAAGGTATTTTCTAACGCCTTAAGCAAGAAACTCCCACGCATGCTAGCAGGACGGTTCTATCCAGGGCTACTGAACCGTGAGAAGATGGTTCAGGAGAACGTCCCGGTGTCTTCATGGGTGCATGTGAGTGTTGGCATAATAAAATTCCGCTGCAGTGCTGCTTTTCTCCCTTCTCGTTCTAGGTCTGGCTTTCCAATGAGAGCGGCACAGACATCTTCAAAGTATATCCCTCGCAAGCCTGGAATGTGTACAATACCCTGCAGGTGATGGAAGGCGCCCCTAATTATGGCTCGAACTTGAAGCATTCCATCGTCAGCATTTTCTTCGACGCAAATGGGATGCAAGAGGTGGGTGCCCCCGGGAGAGGTTGCGCCTGCTGGGAACCCAGGAGGGAGCCAGCAGCCTGCCCCACATCCTTTTTACTTGGACGGTGTGGGACTTCGCCTTGCCGGAAATGCCGCCTCGTCCCTGCTGTGCTGCCTTGGTTCCCGTCATGCTGGCAAGGCCGAGGAGCTGCCCAGCCGATCAAGGGGTATATCTGAAGCAGCCAGCCGGGGAGCTGTCCAGCCGCGAAGCCGCCCAGGCTGCAAACCAGGCAGAGCGAGGGAAGGGGCCTGGTGCCCTCTGCTTGGCCTCGCTGGCTTCTCTGTTCCTGAGGCAGGATTGCAGAAGGCTGTGTTGATTGGCCTGACCTCTGTTTCTTTCAGCTGGTTTACATAGAGGAGTCTGTCGGCAAAGGCAGAGTGGTCAAGAGAAAGTTCCCTCTGAATTATATCCTGACCTATGACCAGTTGATCAGCACCCCTCACAAGGAGGTGACAGTCGAGTGAGTACAACAGCAACCGCCTTGGTTCCAGGTGCGTCACAGAGATGGTTCTGTTAGCTGTGGCCTGCACTGAAAGCCTGGCTGGACACGGGCCTCTCCTCTACCAGCTTTGCAGTTTTTGGCTTCCTCCAGCTTCTGGATTGAGTTTTTATCCTATCCAAACTGTTTTGGCAGCAGCAGACAGTCATCTGCTCCCGACCTGCACAAGCGCCGGCCACATGGGGGGCTCTTTGTGGGTGGAGATTATGGTAAAGATCCCTTAGTAGCGTGCTGCTTCATAGAAGCACTGCAAGGTTCAGTTTATAAGTGCAGAATCAGCAAGTAGCAAAGTTTTCCCTAGAGACTCCGCTTCTGTCTAAAGCAGGTTACAAGCTACCTCAGCGTGGAACTCGGGCCGTCTCCCTGTGCAGAGGGGACAACGCCTAAAACTGCTACCAAAGCGAGTCCCTCTGATGCCAAACTTAGGGGTCCTGTGTGTACATGTCCGGAAGGCCAGGTCACCCCAAAATAAGGCTGTACTTCCTGTATATTCGGAGGACTTTCCAGATATGCAGAAGCATAAGTACGTTCCTTAAAAGGAAAAGGAATTCTGAAAAACCAAAAGATGAATGCCCCATCAAGGATTTGTACTCTGTGCCTTCCAAAATTGTAGTAATGTCAAAGGAGGTTGGGTTACGGAATATCCTGGGAGTCTGTCAAAGGGGAAGGGAAGGAAAATCCAGGAGAAAGAGAACCTTGGCTTGCTTGAGGCTCTAACAAGTTGTATTCTGAGATACCGAGGATTTGGAGTTGGAATGAATGCTGGGCAGAACCTGCCCGGGTGCAAAGAAATTCCTTCAAGATCCTTTCCTGAGGGTCCCCGGCACTGACAGGGACACGACTAAAGTCAGAGCAGGCAAGGCTTCAAGGAGGGTGGATAGTGGGAGAAAAAACGTGTGTCGCAGAAGCCTCCTCACTTTCTGCCTCTCCAGTGCAGCCACGCAGCACTCAGTTTCCATGGTGGCACCTCACCGAGACCCGGTCCCTTCAGTGCCGTGCAACAGAGCAGTGTCCCAGCAGGGCGGGAAAGGAAAACGCTGTTCTGCTTTTCCCTTCGCACCTTCGGAAACGTCCGCACCTCTGTGCAGCCCCTGTTCCGAGCTGGCTGGAACAAAGGTGCCTCTTGTTGGAGGCTAGTGGGGGATATGTTTGTATGTATTTGTATACGTCTTTATTTATGATGTCGGAAGCCATCCCGAGGCTTCTGCAAATGGGACGGCATACAAAAATTCCAAATGAATAAATAAATATGAGAGAGCCGGGATGGCGCAGGTGCCAGAACGCTGGATCGGCACCCAGGGCCTAGTCCCCCCCACACTTCGCCATTCTGTGGCAGAGGCCAGAAAAAGGCGGCGACCAATTGTTGGGAAGCGCTTCCCCTGGAGGGTTTGAGCGTGAGAGACGCAGCTCTGACAGACAGGCGTGGGCCGTGCTGCGTACGGCACCAGCGTCTTAGCAGCCGGCCTGGCAGCGCCGGGGGGCTTTCCCTGGGACAGGCCACGGGGCCTCCTGGCTCACGTCGCTTGCTTGCTCCCTTGCAGTGGACAGAATTACATCAGATTCACCCACCGCTGCCCGTTCGCCGTGCATCGCCTGGTGGACCTGCCCCTGACACAGCGCTTTTCCCGAATGGAACATTACCGAGCCAATCCCCCGGAGATCATGGAGAAAACCGGCTTCCATGACAAGAGGTCCCTGACGGTTTACCAGGGGCTGATCTACCAGTTGCTCCAGTTACACTCCTCTTACCACCGTGTGAGCACACCTTTTCTGTCTCTGGGGGAGAAGTCGCCCCCTGGTGGCATCCAGCCCTCGCAGATGCCCTTTGCAGGAGCTTCAGCATGAGTGAGCTGCCTGTCCCCTAGCAGTCCGTGGGGCGGGTTGCCGAAGGAAGAGCGAGGGAGAAGGGGCGGGGGCCCTGCTTTTGCCTCCCCTCCCACGCCCTGCTGGCTTGCAGTCCCCACAAATAATCCCCAAGGACAGAGAAAAGGGTTCCTTGGGAACAGGAGGGGAGAGGTGGGAAGCCCCAGTGCCGCGTTGTCCCCGGCTGGCTCACCTGAACTAAGGAGACCCACCCAGGGTTCTGTATCTGTTCTGCTCCACACTAAGCTGAACGTGCTTCTCCCTCTGCTCTCAAAGCCCTTGCTGCATTTTCCCTTTTCCTCTTGCCTCACTAGTCTTATGCTGACCCAGTCCATGACCCCACATGGCGTTGGTGGAAGAACAAGAAACAGGATGCGGTAAGGAAAAGGCCGTAAGAAGTACCCCTGGGAGCAGCCTCTGATACCAGGGAACGTCGTGCTCCTGGTATCCTCTGGCCCAGGTATCCTCTGGCCCAGCGGGCATTTCCTCCAGGGACCCGTCCTGCTGTGTGCGTGGGCAGCCTGTCGTGGAGCAGCTGCCTTGACTGAGGCAGCAGCCCGAGGGGTGCGCGCGAGGCCGGGAGCGCCTCTCCGCGCCACGCTGCGCCTCCTGGGCAGGGCCGCTCTGGCGCAGGCTGGGCCCAGCCACCCCCTTGGCAAGGGATGCTTTGCCCAGGCGGCATCCTCTCTAGCAGAAGGCATGGCATGCTCGAGGCCTGCCTGCATCACACCACGTGCCCGGCACCGCAGACTGCCGCTCCTCTCCGCACTGGCCGAGGCTCTCGCCACAAGCTGTTTTCTCCGCTCTCCCACTGGGTATAATGGTGGGGATAAATCTAGTGGGGGGCCCTTCAGGCAGCAGGCACGGGGAGACCTCACAGATTCCAGATTGGCTTTGTGGGCCAGAACACCTTCCCTACGGCCTGGCAGAATTTTGGCCTGTCTGGGGAGAGCAGAGCTGTCAAAAATGGGCAAAAAGGAGCAACATCTTAGCAGAAACGATGCAGACTTCTCTATCGCCACCCGGGGAAGGTCAGCCTTGCTATTGTAACCCCATCGGCCAGTGGAGGGCACTTTCAGCCTCCGCTCTCGCTAGGCAAACGCCAAGTACGTTTTCTCGCAGGCTGGATTGCTCCAGCAATCCTTCTCGTCCCTCTTGCTGTTTGGCGTATGTCATAAAGCACCGTTACACGACTGACCCCCAGATCTGAGCATCCAGAGAAATTCCCCCCTGGCCCACAAATAAAGAGGTGGCTGATGAAGCTGGTGTAGGAACGGAGCTGCATGCGATGGTAAGCCTGGCCCTCTGGAAGGCGGGCTGCTGCCCTGACGGCCGGCTGCCGCCTCCAGGCACTCTGCACAGGCTGCCCAAGGCAGAGTGTCCTACAGCAGTCCGGCCCAGATGTTGCCCTAACAGGACTGACTCTGGCCATTTGAAATGGGAAGAGACTCGAGCATCTGCTCATTGCATGAGGAAACGGGATCTGCAGTGGCTGCCCCTGGAATTTCCAACTGCTCAACGGAGTGGGAGGAGCAGGAAACAAGGCTTTGGATTTTTGGAACCAGGGAGGGGAACAGCTTTCGGTCCATGAGGCCCAATGGTTCCTTCCCCCAGGCTGAATGGATGCCCCTCCCCAAGAGCCCCTCCCCAGTTTTCTGGATGCTGCTTGTCGACTTAGGGGCCAAGGGAGCAGCGTGCAAAGGAACCGCTGGCCTGAGGAAGGGCCTGGGACAGCAGGGGCCCCCACAAAGGTTCTTTGTGGGTGGTCAGGGAAGGCAGTTTGCCAGAGGCCCTCCTTCCTTCTCCTAAACAGTCAAAGGATCAGAATAATCCGAGAGGACACTGAGCCACGTGCCTGCCACCATTTGGCCTTTTTGACTCTTGGAGGCTGTGGACGTAATCCCCCCCTGTGCTTCTTTGTGTGGTTTACATTCAAATGTCTGTGAAATCTCCCAGTTCGCCGCCTCTTCTCATGTGTGGTAAGAGGAGTTGGGAGTAATGGAGGTGAAGCATGTTGTGAGCGGAGCCGGCTGGAGCCGGGGGTCAGACTAGATGGCCCAGGAGACCCCTTCTGACTCGCTCTGTTTCTATATTTCTGTGAAGCACTTGAGAGCACGGAGGACACTCGAAGCTCTCCTTCCATGCTGGTCAAGTAAGGGAAGGAACCACTGAACAGATCTGGAATGGTGAGACATCCAGGCCGGGCTACATTCTTTGGGAGTGGCAACCTCTCTCACTCCCCCACTGCCTGCAGGATGTGGTACTGGCCAAGGGATTCAGCTTTCTGAGTATTTCATTTTACAAAAAAAGCCATTTCAGGATTCGGGACCCCATAGCTGCAAAGTGGCATGACTGAATAAGATTTTTTTTGTTCGGAAGTGATGCTTTTAACAGGCCTGACAAAGCCAGAATTATACAAAGCAGTAAAGATGGCAAACTAAGAGAAATCAGGATTTGTGTTGTATATACCTAAAGTATGTTGCTTTCAGATTTCAGCTGACTTTGTCTCAGAGATGTTTTAAAGTATGGGGTACACACACCGCCCTACATTTCATTGTGAGAAAGGGCTAACCTTCTTTCACTTTAATAAAATGCCATTAATAACACAGAAAGCACAAGACGTGGCCATAAGCCTGAACTGGTCCCCTTCTCTTCCCTGCCTCCATGTGCTTTCCAGGAATATTATTCCTACATGGCAAGTAACTGGAAATCTTCCGGAGGTATGTACGTTGACATGGCCAACTACGTCAAGATCTACAACCTGAAGCCCAATAACATGCTGCCAGAGAGTATCTACCTGGACAAGAAGACAGCCTTCACCTTCAATGTCTACCTGAGCATCAGGACGAGCAAGCAGAGCAGTAAGCAGTGGGAACCCAGGAGGCACTGCAGTGAGGAAGGGGGCGTGGATCCAGGTTCATTTATTCGTACATTCGTAACGCTTCCTTTCCCCCTGCTCATACGGGACCCAAGGTGGCTTACGTGCTCCGCCTCTATTTCCTTTCATCCTCACAATGACTCTGTGGCATTGATCAGGCGCATGAGAGTTAGCATGTGGCCCGAAATCACCTCATCTCCACATGGCTGAGTGGGGACTGGAACCGAGGCCACCCAAATCTCAGGCTAATGCCCTTGCCACCCCATCGCACTGGGCCTGATCAAATAACCCCCAGGGGAGCGTGTCCTCCGTTCTAATTCACTGCCCATTTCCGGGTGCATGATACGCTTTCCGAAGTGAGGTGGCGAGGAGGGCGGTGGGGTGACGGTTCTTCTCTTCTGCCTACAGTCGGGGAAACGGCGGATGAGAATTCCCTCCATTACATCTGGCTCACCGCCATATTATCCCATCCCGAGTATGTCCATGCAGATCTGGACAGGCAGGAGCTCATCAGCAGGGGCTCAGTGCTGTATCGGGTAAGGGCCTCTCAATTCCGGCCACTGAAATAGAGGCGGGGCAGATCCAGAATGTCTCTGAACATATGCAGAGCATCTTCTGCAGGTGGAAAGAGTGCTCACGGGAAAGGTCTGCAGACTGATGCAAAACGCCTTTCCTCTGGCAGGAATCGCCCTCACTCTCGAAAGGCGACATGCGGGTGTGTGTCATGCAGCCACAGTTGCTGATTTCCCCCTACGGCACGTGTTCTGGCTTTCTCCAGAGAAGCAGCGTGGGGAGGGAGCTGCAGTGGGAAAGTCATGAGCAAGGAAAAGGTTAAGCACTGCCTGCTTTACCCTTAAGGAGCACCCCCTTTGGAAGCTGCCCTTCCCCCTGAAGAGGTTGGAATACATGCATGATGTCTGCCCTAGGCCCACGCGCCCAAGTTGGCGGCGGTTCCTCAGCATGCAAGTGCTGGGACGGGGACGAGGTGTCAGCCATCTACCTGCCTTTGCCAGGGTTCGACAGACGCTCAGGGAAACTCCAGTGCTGGCATCAGCGCCACCGCAGCAAGAAAGGGTGGCTGAGGTACAGCTCTGCTGCTTCTAAGCAGGCAGAGCTGAAGCCGGGGGTGGCTTCTCCCACTAAGGAAGGCCCTGCCCCCGAGACCCTGCATGGCCCTGCCTCCTGGGAGCGCAGCCCTCAAAGCGAACACAACCGGCTCATCCCTTCCCGCACCCAGTGGTGCACATGTGCTTGTGATGGCCGCAAAAGCCTGGGCAGGGGGGGCTCGGCTGAGTGTGGTCCCCGGCCTGGGCCTCCTCCAGTTTATTTATTTTATTTTATTTATTTGGAAGTTTTGTATGCTGTCCCATTCGCATAAGCCTCGGGACAGCTTCCAGCATATAAATAAAGACATATGCAAATACATATAAAATCTGGAAACATCCTGGCTCAATAATTTAAAACCAATAAATAAAACCAACAATTATTAAAATATCGTTTAAATAAAAAGGTCTTGGCCCGGCACTGAAAAACAAATAACGACGCGCCAGGCGGACCTCTCTGGGGAGCGGGGTTCTGGCCAAGACAACTGCGGCCACCAGAGCGGCAACTCTCCAGAGTGGCCGACGACGCACAGGCCACCAGGTTCGCCAGTGGAAGGAGACGGAGGCGAGCCGGAGCCACTACAGTGGTGCTAATACATGCGGAGAAGGGGCGTGGATGGGGACCCGCGTGCTTTAGCCACCCGTTCTGCAGCCTTGATGGGCTCGCGGCAAGCGGAGGCCAGCCGAGGGCACCCGCGAGGGCGTCGCGCGCGCTCTGAGTCTCTCTCTCGTGTCCCATCCCTTCTCTGCAACCAAACCCAAGGTGACGATCAGCGACATTGGCATTTACCCCCGGCAGCAGCTCAGTGGAAAGAACCTTCTGAAGAGCTCTGTTAATTTTAAGGTAACCCCGCCCCCCTTTTGGTCACCTTCGACCCCAGAGCTCCATCCCTGGGAAAACGTGGTTCCTGGGCCAGGACGGGCTGCCACGTGGCAGTCGCCTGTGCCACGTGCGATGCCTGGAGCCCAACTCCGGACCCTCCTGCCTCGTGCCCTCGCCAGTGAGAGGCACCCCTGTGGCAGAAGCGGCCAGCATTGGCTGCTCCCCCGAGGTGGCTTCAGGTTGTGCTTACTCTTCTCAGATCGCACACTCGGGGATGAGCTGCTATGAATACACTGGGCAGGGACCACGCCTGAAGGTAACGGCAGCTTTGGTTTCACGGGAGGAAGCGCTTCTTCCACGAACGGTCTTCTTGTGTTGTAAACTGTCCAGAGAGCTTCAGCAACTGGGTGGTGTAGAGATCGATCGATCCATCAATCGATCTGCAGCTACAGGAGAGGTTTCCATGGGTGGTGACCAGCTTGCCTGACCTTGCATCTGTGTCTTTATCAGGAGGCTGCTGAGGGTTATCCCTCCAGCAATTCCATGCCAGGAAAATTTAACTTGCTGTCAAACTCCTGAAGGAGAGGTCGCCGTCAAAGGCATAGCAGCACAGCCCACCAAAAAGGGGGCCGCTGGCTTAGCCTGCATCCCAGGGTCTGCTTGCAGAACACGGGCAGCCAACCTCAGGTCTGGGGTTCAAACGTGCTTCCCCCCCCCCCCCCCAGCATCCCGGAGGGCCACACTTCTTCCTCCCGGCCACCAATTGTTTGGTGGTCTCCTGGCTTCTGTTGGCTTATTCCCCATTCCAGAGCATTGCAACACTTTCCCTAAGACTTACTTATGGGTAATAAGATCTTTAGGCTAAAATAGGCTGGTATTTTTGGCCTGGCCTCACCGCTTGGTCCCACCCACCCAGCACCATGGCCCTCGAGAGCTGAACGAGAATGTTCATGCCCGACCCAGGGCGAAGGCAACCCTTGGCAGGCTTCTCTGTTGCCCTGCGTCTGCCGAAGGGGCTTCCTTGAGCATGTGCAAAGAACCCCCTGCGCTGCACTCAGCTTCGGCAGCTGGCGGGGTGGGCAGACGTGCGGGGGGTGGGGGGCTGAAGAGGATGCTTGAACTCCATTGCTCTGAAGCTGCAGCTGGCTCCCCTTTCCTCTTGAATGGCACCACAGGGCAACAGTATGGTGCAGATTAATATTGGATGCCCTCCGGGCAAGAGGCTGGCATTCGACATCACGTACACCAAGAATTACACCGCCGAGAAGAACAAGCGCTATTTCGACTGTGTCGCATCAGACCCTGAAATGCCATGCTTTTATTTCAGTGATGGTGAGGCCAGGGTGGGAAGGGAGGGCTTGGAATGGTGCCGCCCCCGCTCCCCCCGGTGAGACGAGGCCTGTTTGCTTCCTTGGCAGTGTTCTATCCTTTCTTCTTGATCCAAGACATGGTGACCGGAGACTCGGGGCGCTTCAATGGGAGGTAAGGAGAGCGTCCCCTGGCACGGCAGCCAGGCTGCTCGGGGGTCACTGGGAAGCAAAAAGCGCCCAAAAGCAGCCACGGGGGGGGGGGGGGTTCGGTGGATCTTTGGATCAGGAGGGTGGTTAATCCTGGGGACCACATTTCCTCCATCCCAGGTCGCGCGCCGTGCGGTTCTCCTTCGGGGCAGAACGTGCCGGCACCGTGTGGGCTTCTGTGGGAGATTTTCATCGGCAGAAGGAACGGCCGCTGCCGCGCCGCCTGTGCTGCCCTTCCCGTTGGCTCGCCCCTCCCCGGCACCGCCACCCATGCGCTTCAGCTGCACACAACCCCCTCGTGCATCGTCTGCGGGGCCTGCCGTCGTGACGGGCGGCCGGCTTGTTTGTTTTCCGACACTGGCTGGTTGTGTCTTGTGTCTGTATTCACAGCGTGGGTTCATTGCTGTGCAATGAATCCGCCTGGATATGCGTTGCAGCACAAATGCTCCAGGGATACTTTAAACGAATAACTCACAACTAGCCAGGGCCCGAGAAAGTCACTGCCCACCGTCCTAAGCCAGTTCAGCCAAGGAGAAGGAGCTGATGTGTCCGTTAGCGCTGCGACTTCTGCCTGTGCCCTTGCGAGGGGCAGCCTGGGGTTAGGCAAATGGGAAAAGAAGCAGCATTTTTGTCCCAGCTGCTGGGCATTGCGTGGGGAGGTGGGGAGGGCAGGGCACAGGGTTCAGAGCGGATCCCGTGTGCACTCCCTGTCGTCTTCTGTTTTCGAATGGCAGCTACATCTTCTCGATCATTGGCGGGGGACCCTTTAATTTGCAAAACATCAAATATTTCACTCCAGAGGAGATCTTGCGTTACAACACCGCAAATGGCAGGTGAGCTGTGGATCCTTCCAGTGGTGAGACACACGAGAAATTCTCATTTTGTGCAAAATTGTTCCATGCAAAGTTCATTTAGACCTCTAATATAGTCCCTCTTCCCACTTTAGGAATCTTTTTCCAAGCTAAAAGGCCCCAAGTACCTTAACCTTTCCTTCCAGGAAAAATGCTCCGATCCTGCACTCATTTTGATCGCCCTCGTCTGCATTTTTTCCAGCTCTGCAATATTCCTTTAAGTCACTGTTTCCCTTTTGTAATCCCCGCCACCCTGCGTCAGATGCCTTGTGCAGTCACCTCTTCCAGCTGGCTGGGGAGAAGCGTTGGCGTGGCAGTGTCCAAAGGACCTGCTGCGAGTCACGGGCTCCGGGGCGGATGAGCTCGGGGCAGCGGGAGGGGCAAGTCCCAGCTCTGTCCCCCAGGGCAGCTGGTGCAGCACCAACACAGGTGATGATGCAGGTGTTTCGGTTTGTGGGATCCCCCGTGCTCCCTATATCCCCAGCAGTGGAAGATGCCCCAAGAGGAAGTCCTTGTGTTTCCTAGCTGGGTCCTCCACAGTCCTGGTGCAGCTACCGCGACGGCTTTGTGACACTGCGGGATGCAGAATCGAGCCGATGCTCAGCCTGGCCTCCGATTGCCCACTTTCCCGGAAACAGTGGCTCTCCGGGGGACGCATGCCTGTGACCCTTTCACGGGAGGTGCCAGGGCTTGAACCTTGGACCTTCTGAATGCAAGACCTGTCTAACCTCTCAGGCCATGGCTTGTGAATGCCATACATGCCTGGTCCCCTGTGATGAGTAGGAATTGCCTCTAGGTGATCAGGCAAAGACAGGGTTATAAACTGAAAGGGATTTGATTCTCTCTCACCCCATGTTCTCTTTTGAAGTCAATAATAAAAACAACAGAAGGTTTATATTTGTTAAGATAATGTTAATGCAGGTAACCCAGGAAAGCTTACTTAGTGTTTTCCTCTATTTTATCTGCACAACAACCCTGTGAGGAAGATTCGACCGAGAGGGAGTGAGTGGCCCAAAGTCACCAGTGAACTCTGTGGCTGTGTGGGGACTAGAACCCAGATCTCCCGAGTCAGTGAGCCATAGCTAGTTACCTCAGGCATGTGCGGGCGGAGGGTGCGGCAAGCAAGGTGGTCAGCGGACAAGCAACCTGTGTCCATTCCTTTGCAACGCCCCGTGGGCCTCATGGTTTCTCCTTCTCTTCCTAGTGAAACGTCAAGTCTGATCTGGCTTAGAGCTGACTTTGAAAACCAAAGGAACCCCGAAGGTTTCCATATCCTCTCTCATGCCTACTCGGGAATCGTGTAAGAGTCGTACTGTCAGGAAATGCGCATCGTGTCCTTGTGGGAGCCAGTCCCCCCCCCCCGCCCCCATGTGAGGAGGCGTCAGAGTAATTATACCCTCCCTTGCTGCCCTCCCTGGGCACTCACAGCAGAATTCTGTTTCAGGCTAAGGAGACCCAAGGAAGATGTGTCAGGTCCCCAAAATGTGTGACGGGGAGAAAACGCTTCAGGCAGGCAGGCAGGCAGGCAGGCAGTGGGAAGGGAGGGGCGACTGAGGCCATGGCTGAGGCAGATGGGCTTGGCTGTATGATCCCTGCCTTCCCTGTGAGCGTGGGAGGGAATGCATAACCCCCACCTATGGAATGCGTTCCCCAGAGAGGTCCGCCTGGCGCCGTTGTTATGTGTTTCTCGGCACCAGGTTAAGACCTTTCTATTCCAACCATATTTTAATAACTTTTAACATTGGATTATATATGTTTTTAATCTGCAGCCAGGGTGGATCTGAAATTCATTTGTATTATGTTTTACATTATTCTTATTTATGTCAGCCGTCCTGAGGCCTTCGCGACAGGACGGCATGTAAATATTCTAAACAAACGAACCAACCAACCCACTCTGATGCCTCCTGTGCACCAAACCAGGCTGAAAGGCCGTCGTGCGTCCCCAGCGCCCCACTGCTGCTCCTCAGGAGCTCCCCGGACATCTGCTCATTTTGCTTCCGTGCAGAAGGGTCGCTTCCCCATCCTGTTGGTCCTGTGCCTTCCGGGGCTTTGCTGAAGAGCTGCTGCCCAAAAACACGAAATAACTCACCGTATGAACCCAGTCTGAGAAAAAATCTCTTTCTTCCCATAGGTGGGTTTGCCAGTATAATTCTCCATGTTATGATATCATTCCTGACGATATGTCTGCTCCCGATTACTACTTTGTGGTGAAGGTCTCAAATCGGTAAGTGAGATTTTTAATATTTAAAAATCTAGCTATTGTTAACATTAGTTTAATTTATAGGCAAATTATATTTATAGACCACCTTACAGCCACAAGGACCCCCAAGTTGTTCCACAGTGAAACCAGGCATTAAACAATTCATCGCAAAGCAGTGCAATTCCGGGCTGCAACAGGTAATTGTTTGGATCGGCCTTCCCCTCCAGACGTGATGCGTGCCGTGCCCAGAATTCCCCAGCCAGCATTGCTGGGGGACTTGAGGACTTGTGGGCCATCACGTCTGGAGGGCATCAGGTGGAGACGTCCGCTTTCAAACATGGGGCTTTCTGCCTGGCTGTGCGCAGAGGGTGATGATCACTGCAGGGGACAAGGCAGGTATATCTCTGTAGCGAGACCATGGGGAGGTGCGCCGAATCAGTCTTCGTGTATTCAGAATACTCACCTACCACATTTCACTTCACATCTTGTACGGTGGCTTTCAGGTATGTTGCAGCCAGTCTGGTGGCACTTCCAGCTGAAGAGGGCCGAATTTCACGTGTTCTTCTGCCCTTGCCAAGTACGCCAGCCTGTCCTCCCAAGCGGAGGGACAGCGCAGCAGGGCAGAGGGGCGGAAAGAACCAAGCTTGAGGCTGACAAGGGGGCAGAGGGAGTGGAAAGGGCATGCTGTGGCCATGGTGGAGAAGCTTCTGCACAGCTCTCCAAAGTTCTGGTAGCACAAAGAACGTAAAAGTGGAGCTACAGTGGAAAAGACGTACTTTTTGAGCAGGGCTCCTGATCAGGAAGCGGCAACTCCAGGGCAACCACCTTCCTCTGAGAGTGACTGATTCTGCTGCATCTTTGCGTTGGGATGGACAGAATCATCCCGTCCTGCATCTTGCAGAGAGGCGGCTTAATTCCTGAACCTGACCGAGGCTGGTGCTGTGAATCGAGCAGAGATGCATCAGGCAGCCTCCTGTCAGGCTGTGTGTTTCTGGCTCACAGTCAGAGTTCACTGCTGAACAATTTTTTGTACGGGGGGCTATTTATTTTACTTTTTTATTTTTTTATTTATATCCTGCCTTTTTCCTACAAAGGGCTCAAGGCAGCTTACATCTCCTCCTCCATCTTATCCCCACAACAACCCTGTGAGGTAGGTTGGGCTGAGAGTCTGTGACTGGCCCAAAGTCACCCAGTTGGCTCCATGGCCAAGCGGGGACTAGAACCCAGATCGTCTGAGTCCCAGTCCCAAGCTCTTAACCACTACACCACACTGACTAGCAACGGACATGGCCCACGAAGGTCACTGGTACGCTCTAGCACATGGGCTGGTGCATACCAGACTAGGAGCTTGATTTATGCCATCGAAATCCAAAGGAAACTTGTATAAAGAGGCATCTTTGTGCCCTGAGAGAAAGATCTAAGCAGGGGAGTGGACTGAGAGCAAGATGCCCTGCTCCGCTAGCCAAACCTCAGCTTTCCCTGTGTGCTCCCACAGGGGTGTCGACCAAACCACCTACTGCGACTACGCCCTGGAATTTATCGTCCACATCCACGGCCTGCGCCTCAGCGCCACCCGCTCCCTCTACTTCCTGAAGGTAACGCCTGCTGTGCCTCGCCTCCCACTCTCGTTCGCGCCGCAGGGCCCGACTCTGCTGGGCTGCTTTTGTCTGAAATACTTAGGCCGGCTCCTACCCGTTTAGGCAGAAGGAAACCCCAGATCAGCACCTTAGAGGTCAGTGGCTGGGGGCACCCCAGAGGGCCAAGCCCCCCCCCAACCACAGAAGACTGGGTGGGATTCCCAGCTATTCTCATGCCCTGTTCCCATTCAGAAAGGGAGAAATCCCTCTCCTACAGCAGGATGGCCTATCTGGCCTTTTGGCATTTTGCCCTTGGCCCGATGAACCAACGCCGGACTCGGCCCTTGGTCTGAAAGCGGTTCCGCCCCCCTGCAGTGGGGACAGGCAGATGCGTGTGCCCACGTGCAGATCGGAGGCGCACGGGGGTTAACCCTCCCCCATTTCTCTCTCCCCTGCTGCTCCAAGATTTCCATTGCTGTGGTGCTCGCTTTGGTTCTTCTGTACATTCTGATCTACACCATGGGCCCCAAAGTCCGGGTCTTCTTCAACAGAACGTGCCGGAGACTGGAGGAAGCGTTTGCTTTTCGGGCCGGTGAGTGGACAACCCGCAGGGACCCTGAGGAGAAGGAAGCCTGCTCGGAGCTTCTGGACTGTTTTGCAACTTGGTGGAAGGACTGCTGAGCAAAAGCCGCAGCCCCTCTGCTGGGAGAGCAGGTGCTCCGAGGCTGCCGGCCCCATCCCTGTCTAGGCACGGGTCCTGTGGCTGCTCCCGAAAGCTTCCCAGGGGCAAGAAACCCACACTGACGCTTTCTGATCCTTCCGAGGGTTCGCCTCATCAGTTGGGGCTCTTTCACCAGGTGCCTTTTTGCCTGAAATGAAAGCAGCAGCCAGGAGAAACCCACTGGGCCATTTTTGCCCTGGCTGCTGCGTCTTGGACTGCCCTGCCACCGCCAGCACGCAGAGCCCAGGCCACAGGTGGAACTCAGGTGGGCTTTTTCAGAAGCAAGCCAAAGCTTTTTAAATCATCAGTATTTATGTATTTAAAACATTTCTATCCCGCCCCCATCGCAACAAAGCCTCGGGGCGGCTCACAAAGGATACATAGATACATAAATAATAACCATGTAACAAAAAAAATTGCTTAAAAACCCCCAGTGTATTCTCGGCTAAAAATTTAAAATCCTATTAATCCAAACAATTTAACAATTAAAATAAGTTTTAAATTAAAAGGTCTTAGTCTGGCGCCGAAAAACAAATAATGACGGCTCCTTTCATTTGATGGTGACTCGCCAGTAATGCCCCTTCTGGTCCTGCTCTGTTTTGCATAAAGATGTTTTTAACGGTTTTGGAACAGAATGCCTCCTACCCCTGCACAAAGCCATAAAACAGTTTTTATTGCCTAAGGCGCCCCTTTGGGTCGATGGCTTCCATGCCTCCCTTCAGCAGCTCACAGGCTCTTGCCCCCCCCCCCCACCCGGAGTCTTATTCTCACTACACAGGATTGCTGGCGAGCCCCTCTTTTCATCCCCGGAATCCCTTGTTTTGCTGCAGTGCTGGGGAGAAACCCACACCATCTTCCTTTCCCTCCCACGGTTGTTTCTCGGCAGCAGAAACACCAGGATCAAGACGGCACAAAGAAAGAGAGAGCCCTGGGCTTCTGAGAGGCAAACATGTCCACTCTCTGTGTGAGATCTCCCCCCACCACCGGGGCCCCAGTGCCGCTACCTGGGGTTCCCTAGATGGCCAAGCTCTTTCTCCCACAACCTCCCTAGGTCATGGGTTCCAGAGCAGTATGACAGTAGACCCGACGACCTAGGGAGCTGGTGAGCTCTCCAGTACTAGAGGCATTCAAGATGCAACTGGACAGCCACCCGAGAGGGATGGCTTCACTGGGAGTCCTGCAGCGAGCAGGGGATTGTTCCCAATGGCCCTTGGGCCCCTTCCAATGCTACTGTTCTGTGATTCTGTAATGCCCCCTTCCAGACTTTACCCTGCAATCCATTGGTGGTTTCCTAGCGAATGGGCAGTTTTTTCTCTCTTTCTAAAAAAATTACTGGCAGTCGAAAGTTTAAGCTGTGATACGGTAATATTTTGGTGTCCCATCCCTTTTGCATTTGAGTCCTGAGAATTTGGAACTTGGTCCTTGGGCTGGACCTAACAAAGGAGGCCATCCGTGCTGTGCGGTCACCGTTGCCATGCTGGGCCCATCGTCACCTTTCCTGCGCCCAGGATGACACGTGCATCATGGCGCCAACTTCACAGCCTGCGCCTCTCATGCACGTTGCACCTCCAGCCTGCGATCCGCAGACTTTGACCGTTGCTTTTCTTCTCTCTCTCCTTTTGCTCCTAGAATCCAGTCTCACCTTCTCGTCTTCATTCACCAGTCAGGGATCCCTGCAACATCTGCCCTCTGAATTCAGCCACAGCAGCGCGCCGCAGTCGTCCTCCAAGGCAAACTCAACCCCGTTGGGAGCACAGTAAGCCCAGCTGTGGCTCGCAGCCGCAGCTCTGTCTGGTGTGCTGTCCTTACTTGGCTCTCCCTCCTCCGTCATGCCAGGGGTCCTCTTCACTTGCACTTTCCACACCCAGCAGTTTCCCAGAGTTAACTAAAAAGTAGCCAGCTTGGAGAGAGCAGCCAAATGCCTTCTGGATCTCTTGACAAAAATGCAGGGAGCAGCCGTACATCTTGCGTGCAGATGTTCCCAGGAAATGAGTCCACAAATATTTGTGTTTCAATAAGATGGCCTGTGAGCAAGCCGCTGGATCCGCACATTCACAGGAGGGATGTGAAGGAGCCATGGGCTTTGCTCCAGAAGCTGTCCATTATCTGTAAAGACCAGTTTGTGGGGGCTCTTCAGAGACTCTCTCACCTTAAGGAGCGAGCTTATAACATGTTGTGGAAATGTCTTTTTCATCACAAGTGGGAGGACTCTTAATGAAAAACCACATCCTTGCCTTCATGTGTTAATTTGCTGTTCTCCACATGCTTTCTGGCCCTCCAGGGCAATATGCATCCTTCTCTAACAGTGTATGAATGTTATTCCCTTGTTCTCTGCTTTCCCTCTTACCATATTTCTCCTGATGTTGTAAACCAGGCAGTGTCAAGAGGGTAACAGTTAAAAAAGAAAAAAGAAGCTGTTAGACTGTGGGAATGCCAATTACCTGATCCTAGATGGACTGTTCCCTGACCTGTTTTGATTTATCCAAATGCCCATGGATAGGTCATTTGTAATGGATGGAAACCCCTTGCATCTATTTCTAGAACTTGAAAAGGAGAATAGTTTTTTTTTAAGTTTTCTTCTTACTTGTGTGTGCTTTCAATTTGGTTTTGTTATTAGTTTTCCTCAGTCGTTGCAGAAACACTGCATTGTTCAATAAGCAAGGGATTGTGCAATTTGCTTTGGAAGGAGTAACTGTTGTCACTCCGTAACTGCAGAATGCAGAGCTGGGAAACTGCTTCCTTCCGCTTCAGCATGGGCATGACATACCCTCTGAGCAGCTCCTGGTGAACCTGTTGCAGCAGGGCAAGAGTGCGATGGTTCCCTCTCTGATGAGCTTCTGGTTTGACCCAAGTTCTTCAGGAATTCCAAATTCCAAACCCACAGTACCTTTATTAGGACTATTCCAGGGCCTTCTGAAGAGTTCTGAAGAACCTGAAAGCTTCCAAGCTTGGGCAGTCCTAGTAAAAATATTGCTCAGCGGCAACTTGTTAAATTCTTTTCATATATTACTGGAGCATCCTATGCACAGGTGAGGAGGTGCTTTTCTTTCTTGGAGCTCTCGTTCTGTATTTTATAGAAAAGCCGGTGGGAACAGGAAGGTCTAACCAGAGTCAGTAGAGAAACAGGTACCTTGCTGTGGTAGTTCAGTCCTGTTCCAGGGAATGTCCGAGGCGTGCCTGTTCAGCGGAGCACGGCAAGAAAGGGGCAGCCAGTAGCTGCCGTGTTTGCAAGGGGGTTTCATAAATAAATAAAAATAAAATTCAGAAGGGCAAAGAGAAAGTGCTGGACCCAATCCTTCCTTTCCCCGTGCAGTCTGGTATTAAACTATGGAACAGCCTGTGCAAAAGCCCAGACAGCAGGTCTGCCTCTGGTTCCGAGTAAATATGTATATGACGGCACTGCACGTTTTTAAAGATGTCACTGTTAATACAATAAGGGCTCGGTGCAACTAGAACTCTGCTTTCAGGCGTCACCCCAAGCATCCTTAGAAGTAAAACTCAGTGAAGTGGTGTTAGCACTGGACCTTGCAGCTGGCTGCCAGTCCAGACGCTGGGTTTGTAAGCCCTCCAGCAACATGCCTTCGGAAAACGCCCTCCCGTTCAGCCACATCAGCACCACTGTATTCAGAAGGATGCAACTCATGCTTTATCCCATGGGAGTAATCTCTTCTGATCCAGTGCAACGCACCTTCCAGGCAAGGGCAGTCTGTCCCCACAAATCTGGATCATACGGCAGCAAAGTATCCTGAAGAGAGAGAACACTTCACTCCCCAAAGTGGTGCAGGCAGCAGGCCAACCCGGCTGTCCTCAGCCCTAGTGCACAAAGGAGGAAGCACCAGGGCGATGCCAGAACCGGAGCTGCCAGGAACCGAATTGCATCCTTTCTTTTTTGATGTAAGCAAATGCATGTAGCTTATTGATGGGGCTGCTCTCATTTCCTCTGCTGTTCTGCGCTGAGCCCAGTTTTTCAGCATGTAGGCTAGAAGGGCATGGCTGGATGAAGTGCCATTGACAGACCCATGCCTTTAAAACCAGGCTGGTTTCTTGTAGGCCTGTGCTACTTGCAGTATCCCACAGGAGGGCAGCACACATCCACAGCTGACCCAACCCCTCATTTCCTGGGCTGGGCTGCGGGACAGAATGGGACATACTCTGCAATCTTTTGTAAGATAATGAACAAAGGGATTTCCCCGAGGGTGGTGGGGATGTAGTGCCTCTGGTAGATCATCTAAACTTCCGCTGATAAGCGCCCCTCTACCCCCTGAACTAAAATTGCGATCATGCTTCGTGTAGCAGCCTGCAAAAGTCCAAGTCTGTGTACGTGCACTCAGAAGAATCTTGGGGATTTGAGAGGGTCAGACCTCCATACAAGTGTGTATCCCTGTTTGCACACAGCGGCAAATCCCAAATCTATGCACGTTTATTTGGGAACTAGTCCTGTGGCATTTGAGGGATTTACTCCCAAGCTGGTGAGTGTGAGAGTTTGCATGACTGGAAGGCTTAGAGTCACGGCTCATGGACGGGTGCAGCCGGCTCATGGACGGGTGCAGCGCACAATCTCCTCCGGCAACAGGTGGCTTGCAGACAGGGTTGGATTCCTCTGGAAAGTCAGGGCTGTAGCAGAAAAGTAGGAGCCTGGAAAAGATTCAGACAGCCTCCCCTTCTACCTCCCCCCACCCGCAGCATCACAGCTCTAAACATAAAGATGTATGTTTAGACTTCCTGTCATTAGTTCCAGCTTTATTTTTGCAGCCATTGATTGGGTTCCCCAAGGTCCAGGTGAGAGCTGCCAATAGAAATCAATGGGAAAATCAGTACCTCATTCTTGCTGTCCACAGACAGTTTTGTTCAGTTTCTCTCACTTGATCCCGGGAGACGGGCATTTCCCGTTCTTTCAGGGCGCCTTCTAACTCACTCGTGGTCCACTGAGGAGTGATTATGCCCACCCTCAACTATACACCAACGTGCAGAGCTATGAGTGAACTCTGTGAGCCCCATTCCAGAGCTGCTGAGTTGGCTGAAGGGTTAGACCCTTAAATTACAGCCTGCTTGGTTGCCTGGGCAGTGGATCAGGTATTCCTGAGATTTAAAACAGGGAGGGCAGAGAATTCAGGGGTTCCCTCCATTGTCAGCTGTCACATCCTGATGAAGGTTGCAGAGCCGCGAGCAAGACTGGAATCCTGTATGCATGTCAAGGCCGAGCAGGGCTGCTCGGTGGACATGTTAAAGGCAGCTGGCCGCTGAGACGGGAGGATGGTGGTAGCTACCCCCAGCCCCACTCTGGTTTTTGTCACTCTGGTCTTCAGGCTGATCCTAGCAACCCAGAATTAAATCACCCTGCCGGGTTCAGATGGCAGAGCAGCCCCAAAACGAGCCGTGGGTTCTCAGGGTGGCCCGTTTGTGAGAAATAAGCCACCTTGCAGAAACTTCTGGGTTCCCATGATAAGACGAACCACCTTGACCGGTGGCCCACCGTAGCTTGTGTGCCGTGGGAGCCACCCGTCTGGCTTGGGCCCGGCTCCCCTCGGAGCCACACCGCTGCCTTCTGGGAACTCTCCAGGGTCCTGGAGAGGCTACCGTGCCCCTCGCAGCCGCTGCTGATGTCTCTTGGTCCTCAGCCTGGCCCAGCACCCTTGCGAGGGCAAGCAGGGGAGGCCTGGCCCGCTCCGGCACCGACGCAGTGCCCAATCCTACATGAGATCTGTTCCAGGAGTAAAGGCCTCTGGATGCGGAGTCCACCCTTCTCATTGCGTTTCTATTCCTTTTATCCGGCAACGGGACTGGATCTCAGTGACAAGATCTCTCAAGACCGGCTTTTTTTATCTGCCAGCAGCAGCGTCGCATCTTAGCCGGCAGATAGCGACGCCGCCCACCACCCCAGGGAGCGGGCGCCTGACAGAGAGGCTTCTTCATTCAGTAAACTCTTTCAAGGTTTAGCTCCTTTTCATCCCCGGCTGCCATGTATTAATCCACAGTAGTTCTTTAGAAGATAAGGGGTCTGGGAAGGGCCTTTCAGCCATCCCCGCGATCGCTCTTTTTTGGTCTCCCTTTCAGAGAGAATTATGAAGGTTGAACTCCCCAAAGGAGGAGGAAGGAGAGCACAGAAAGATAAAGAATAGCGGGACTGTATGGCATCCCCCCCCCCCCCCCCGCCCCATCTTGCTAGGGCTTCTGTCCGCCAAGCAGAGCTTTCAGCCAGGTTTGAGCCACTAACGTAGCTGCTGGGCTTCTTTGGAAGAAGAACTCAGGAGAGAGTTGGGAGGATTTCCAGGAGGCTTGTGCGAACTAACTCGTTCTTTTCTAACGCAGTCCTTGCCCACAGAAGCTGCCCCTTGCTGAAGACCAGCAGGCTAAGAGTTTAATTCACTGGTCAGAAGGTTCCAGTGGATCCGAATGAAGAGCTCCCTCTCTGTTGGGCAATTCTGTTTCTGGCTCTGCTGTAAATATGGATCCACAAGGAAGTAGGACAGGCCTGCCTCTCCGTTTTTTGCGATAGGCTTCTGCATATGACATGCTAATGTTCTTATGCTTTCTCCAGAATTTCAAGGAGATGCTTATCGTGACCGTTTGATAACATGCAGGCGTATTTCAAACCAGTTCAGAAATGGGTTGGAGCGTCAATTTCTGAGCCACTTCATGGCTCTGAGGTTCAGTGCTGCCATGTTGGAGTCTGCCTGTGAATGGGACAGGGAGGAATCTGCAACAGCAGAGGCCAAGCTGGTACCCTCCAGAAGGTTGGGCAACAGCTGCCGTAAGACACATTTATACGAACTTGCACGTGGTACTCAGAAGTGATCCGCTGCTGTCCCTGCTGTGTGTGTGCATTTCATTGCAATTTTTGCAAAATTTGGATCTCACCCTTCCTCCAAGCAGCCCAGGGAAGTGTATATGCCCCCTTCTTCCCTCCACATTATCTTTGCAACAACCCTGTGAGGTCGGTTGGGCTGAGAGTGACTTGGCCAAAGTCAGCCAGCGAGCTGCCTGTCCAGCTAGAACCCTGGTCTCTCCAGCCCCCATCCAGTGCCTAACCACTGAACCACACTGCTTCTCCATTGTAGATTCAGTGGCTGCCGGTTCCAATCCCCTGCTAAGACCTCAGATGTTCCTGGCCACCTGGTCTCTACTTTTTCTGCTCCCAGAACACCTTCTCTTGTCCTTTAGATGCTTCTTGGTTTCCATTGACATTGGAACTGAAGCGATGGTTCAGGCTTGACCTCTCCAAGCAACCCAGGGGTTGCTTGTGATTTGCTCTTCCATAATGTCCCTTGCTCTTCCTTTGATATCTGGCCTGACTCTGCCCTTAACTCGTGGGGAGCCGGAGCCCATGATTTTTTTAGGTTCCCTGAAGCATGAAGTCCAGATCATGCGACGGGATTGCTGTCGTGTGGCAATGCATACGTCCGAAACAAGGAGGAGTTTTGTGGGACAGGGTCTACACATTTGATGTGGAAGTCTCTGCTCTTTGGCAGGGCATCTGCCGCTTTGTGCTGGGTTGACTTCCATGATGTACTGCTGAAAAGGAAGGAGATCAACCAGGATAATCAGAAAAGTGTGGCACTCCGGAGGAAGCAGGAGTGCTTCTAAATCCCTCTCACCTA